GTGTTTACGGGGGGTTTTATGGGGTAAAAATAGGTTTTTCCCATTTTTGACCCAAAAAACATAAAATTTAGCAATTTATTTCCAAACCATTTTGTAGAGCTTCAAAAAACAAATAATTTAGTATATTGAAGCGTTATTATGCGCCTAATGGTTACGGAGAAAATTCAAAAAAATTGTAAATTTAAAATTCCCATGTTATTCTTATGGAGAATGAGTAAACTGTTGTAGTTTGCTTGTTTATGAACATATTTTGATCAAATTTGGAAAATGTTTTTATTTCTTACTTACTAACTATTAACATTTTACAAAAAAAACAGTTTTACCCTCCCTAATGCAGCAAACCTAAGTACTTGTTAAACTAATTCTATTTAAATCGGGAATAAATGTTATATTTTTAAGTAGACATTTCAGTGTAAATCCAATCAGTCAAATGGAAATTCGCTTAGTCTGCAGGTTTGCTGCGGCGGGGGTATTTTACAAATATAATTGTGTAAATTGAAGTTTTGGTATTCCAATGACACACGAAGCATCGAAAACCTAAAATAATTAAGGCAGTCAGGTAGCTCTGACATTTAAAGGTCTTGGTAATTTTTGCTGCAAAATGTTAATCTTTGCTGTGAAATGAAATGCCATATTTCAAATATAGCGTTTGGGAGGAATGTTGTTTTGATTGATTGTTTATTCAAACTCAAAACCTTTTTAGAATATGCAATGTAAATTTATTGTTTATTAGTTTTCGTTCTTAATTTTTACTAACCTTCGTGTAAATAGTATTGCTAATTGACAACTTTGAATAAACATAAAACAGTATATATTTTCTTATTAATACCTTTATCTGCAAAAATCACTACCGTAATAGAATAATAACAAAGCAAATTATAGTTCTCAATAATTAGGAAGTAAAGAAGACTAATCTAGATAATGGATTGATAGATCGTTATAATTCATTATTGTAACAGTATAATGGCTGAATAAAAGTCATTATTTTACTGTCTTTTAGCTAAATAAATTATTTATTTGTAGTTAAAAACTAACTATATTATTATCCTTATACTCTAATAAATTACTTACTTGGTATTTAAAAAGTCTAATTGATTACCAAAGCATTATATGTGTATACTGTATGGCATTATTATAGTGCACAGAATTTGCTTCTTTACCTCCATATGTAATGTAGTTTCAACAAACTGCGAATTATTTTTATTGCAACGTCATTCGTTTTGACGTATTGAAGGCTTAGATGATGTTGCGCTTCCTAAAAACTAGCAAACTAGTCAGCCTTGTTTATTTAATTTGGACTATGTACTTATGGTGGTGAAAAAGCCTATTTTTATTTTTTTTTATCATAGTTAGCCAACCAAATCAGTATGTGAATATTTTAAATTTAATAAATCACTATCTAAACGTCCTGACATCTGTCTAAATATTTGAATTGTGTAGAATGATAGACGACCCAATTATTTTCTTTGTATGATGATAACTAACTACGTGCTTTAAATTCTAATATTTGCTAACTATAGTATAAATATGTTATTGAACTAACATCTTTATTATACTTATCATAATAGCTAACGAGTTAATTATTTAATTTCCTAAAAGCGAATGAAATGTACATAACAGTGATGGAACGTTTGCACACTCACATTTGTAAATTCACACACACACACATGCAAATGTCTAATGCATCATCCATCACACATTAACATGAGTAATGTGTCAATGTGCGATCCCTATAGAATTTAATTTTTGTATTTTTTGCGTTGGAACAATTTCTGCAAAGTTATCAACTTTTGCATTTACTACAGCATAATTTATGTTGAAATAATCCCGACAGAGCATGACATTTAGTTGAGTTAACTTAAAATTACAGTAATAGTATTTATCATCCACTCCATTGTTTTAAAAATTGTATTCATTATCACACCAAATATTAAAAGTATACTTTGCAAAAATACATATAACTATTAACTTATCTATATCAAGACAAGAAATATTTCATGTGAGTAAAAACCAAGAGACAACCTTATGTTACCGTTTTCCAGGCTGATACGTAAAAGGAAGATGTTTAATTTTGACTGTGTGTTTAATGTAACTACAAAGCACGCCCGTAATCTGCTTTGCTTTACTTTATGTCGTCTTTCTTTGCTTTACGCTTTATGAAATATATTTCATGTTTAAAATTTCGTTGATAAATGTTCAACATAGTAAGTAATGAAAGTTCCTTTATGGTAAAACTTTTGGTTTGTTAAAGGAAAATAACTGAAAGGTAAATACAGTAGTTTGATATTTGTAGTTTTACCCGTAGCTCGACGGAGAATGAATCTAGAGCAAAAAGATTGTCTTTTAATAACACTGCAGGAAAGCATTACAAAATATTTATTAGCATTGATTATTAAAGACCATAAATAATTAACCGTGTCAACAAATAATGAATTGATAAACTTCAATTCATTAATTAATTGAACAGATCCTATTAAATCTTTTAATGAGCTATGTAGCAGAGTTGAATGACATGTGTTCGGTATTCAGTGTAATTAATTGTGATTTGTTATAATAATACTTTCTATCAACTAAAAATAAATACAGATGGCATTGGTTTTTAATTTGGTTTAATGTTTAAAACAACATATGTGATTTAACAATGAAATAATTTATTAGTAATTTTGTTAGTTAAAAAACAAACACAAGACTCAAGATCCCTCTCTCTTCTGTAATCTCTCTTTAAAGTTCTGTAAAATCATTGAAAGTTTATTTGTTAATATTAAAACTATTTGTTAATTGTATCAGTGTTCTAATTTGAAGAATGAAAACTCCGCTTAACTTATAAATATACAGTCCACTCAATCCACTCTACATGCTATCGAAATTCTACATGGTCCTTCGAGCCGGATCATCTGAAATTCAGCTCTTTTGGTAACTATAAGTCACAATAAGTTCTACTCCAACTCCAACTTGCAACCTTAAAAATGAACTACTAACTCCTTTCTCATAACTAAGAAGTAAGAAGACTACCAAGACTACTGTAGATCTAAAAGGTCAATATCTAAAGGACTTTGATTCAAACTTTGATTCCTCTATATTTTAAGCATATTGTTTTTGTTGTAATTTATCAATTCAATTGACATTTCAATTTGTATCAAACTGTACAATTTGGTATTTTGTAATGCTCATAGCAACCACTAATAGCGCTAATGTAACAATGCCATCTGTTATCTGTGTCTCGTATTGCAGACAATAATGACAATCTCTAATCTCTCTCTCTCTGAATACTCAGAATAATTGTTTTGTTGTACAACAAAAATGAAATTCGTCACTCTCTCTAGGCAATTAAACTCAATTGCAAATCGTTTAGCCAAAATCCAAACTAACATCCAAGCTTTAGATTTATTACCTGAATTGTCCCAAGAACAAATAAATAAGTTGAAACTTTTAGAGTCAGAAACACTTAGAAAATACTCAGAATTTGAAACCTCCCTTGAGAAACTATTCAATAGTGACACGCTTCCCGATGATTATGAAGAAGATACACTCTTTCAATTACAAGATACTATATCTGACTTATATGTAGGAATTCAAACTCTCACGAAGAAACACCTTTCTCAAGATCCTACAAGTCATAGGCCTGTTCTAAACACTGACTCAATAACAAATACTCCATCAAGTAGCCTACCCCATAGGCCTAGTAGCTCTTCCTCAAACCAAGATAGCCACTCTCTGAAACTCCCTCCTCTATCTCTCAAAACTTTCAATGGTTCACCGGAACAATGGTTATCTTATGTTAGCCTGTTTCAAGTATCTGTTCATGATAATGAAAACATATCCAAAGTTGAGCGATTTCAATATCTGCTTTCTACTCTACAGGGAGAACCTTTCAATTTTATAAAGAATTTACCAATCACAGCTAAAAACTATGATGTAGCATGGGATCTTCTTCAAAAACGGTATCAAAACAGTAGGAAAATCATAAGTATACACCTCAACAACATAATAGACTTACCTAACCTAATTGACTCCTCCCTCAAGAACATTCGCTCGTTCATTTCTCAGTATAATGAAAATGCCCAAGCACTCATTGCACTCAATCATGACATAGCCAAGGATAATATCTTGCTCTCAGCCATGTTACTAAGGAAATTACACGCAGACATTCGCAAAAAGTTTGAAAGCTTACGTCTAAATTCTCAAGACCTTCCAACCGTAGGTGAAGTAATAACATTTTTAGAAAATGAATGTGCTTACTTAGAAGCTGCTAACCTCTCTAACTCTCAGTTCCCTAGAACTACTTCAAGCAATAGCAATGTAGGTTTCACTCAAAATAGTAAGAGGTCCAGCCCTCACTCCTATCAGATAGGCCTACATAAGTCTACACCGAACCGCACTACTTTACTAGCTTTCAGAGACTCAAACGCCACATGCACATTTTGTAGTAAAAGTGATCACAACATTTACCAATGCTCAGAGTTTAAAGATTTGTCCGTACAGGAAAGATACAATTTTGTGAGGAAAAACCACCTTTGTTTGAACTGCTTAGGTACCGCTCATTCTGTCAAAGACTGTAAGTCAAATAAAACATGTTTTCACTGTAAACTGAAACATCACTCCCTCTTACATCCAACTAATAATAGGCCTAATGATAAGCTTACCGGTAATCAAAAGCCTAAAGATAATGCTCCGATGCCCAAGGAAATGAATAAAACTTATGATCACCCTGAACCTCCCTTTGTAGCTGTCTCCTCAAACCCTAATACCACTATATTGCTAGCCACTGCATTGGTACACTTGAAAGCTAATAACGGTGGTTGTAAGCTAATTGAAAGCTAATTGTAGCCCGAGCCGTTATTGACTCCGCATCTATGGTAAGCTGCGTAACAGAAAATATTGCTAACCTGCTTATGCTTAAACGGACATTTTCCAGTAATTCCAAGATAGATGGCCTATCATCAGTAGAAGTTAAATCTAAAGGTGTGTCAAAAGTTAACATATCGTCTCTTAGCGGAGAAATGATTGCTGATAACAACCCAGTCCTTATTCTAGACAGAATAACCTCAAACCTCCCACACTCAGAAGTTCCAGTTAATGTTAAAGAATACTTCAAACATTTGGTCCTGGCTGATCCAACTTTTCATCTGCCTAGTAAGATAGATATGCTCATAGGTGCTGATCTATTCGCTAAAGTGATCACTGGTGAACGCATCATCATTAACAAGGATCTTCCTGCTGCCATGAATTCTGTATTTGGATATCTTATCATAGGATCTGCCCCAACTCTTCCTGCTGTAGTCCCTCACAAAACAGCCCCTCAATGCAAGGGTAATGTTTCTTCTTTATTAAGTACTCAAGATATTGATTTGCACAATTCTCTGCAGAAATTTTGGACTCTAGAGGAACCTCCCATCAAACATCATGTAACATCTGAACAAGAAATTTGTGAAAATCACTTTCTAAACACGGTCTCTAGGGATTCAAATGGACGCTACTTTGTTAGGCTACCCATAAAAGAAAATCATCCCCCTCTTGGTGACTCATCATTTTGCGCTCGCAATAGATTCCTATCACTTGAAAGAAAATTAGAAAGTCAGCCTGAAGTTAAAGCAGAGTATAGTAAAGCCATACATGATTTATTGTCATCTAATCACATGGAACCTGTTAACCCTCCTCCAAACAGTGATAATAAACAATTTTACTTACCTCACCATGCTATTGTCAAAGTAGATTCCTCAACCACCAAGCTTCGTGTAGTATACGATGCAAGCGCACGCAGCTCCTCAGGTGTCAGCCTTAACGATATTCTACATACCGGGCCAAAACTACATAATGATCTTAATGATATTCTGTTAAAGTTTAGACTTTCCCCTATTGTCTTCTCATGTGACATCAAACAAATGTTTCGTCAAATAATGATCCACCCAGATGATAGAAACTATCAAATGTTGTATTGGAGAGATGACAAAGACGACCCCCTTTCAGTTTACCGTTTAACTACAGTTGTGTTTGGATTCAACTGCTCACCCTACTTGGCACTAAGGACACTTCACCAACTTATCACTGATGAAGGCGCAAACTTCCCTCTGGCAGCTGAGGCTTTAAAGAAACAAGTATATGTAGATGATTTAATATTAGGTGCCAACAGCATAGAACAAGCTTTGGTACTAAGAAATGAGGTGGAACAACTTCTTTTAAAAGGATAATTCGAACTGAGGAAATGGACTAGCAACTGCCCTCAAATCATGGAAACTCTCCCCGACTCTTACAAAGAAACTCCTCTATATTTCAACTCCTCAGATCAACCTTATTTCAAGGTACTAGGTATAAAATGGTCACCTAACTCAGACACTTTCTCTTATCAGTTGAATATCCCAGACACGCCTCCCACTAAACGAGGTATACTTGGAACAGTTAGCAGAATATTTGATCCAAACGGTTGGTTGACTCCAGTCACTCTTTGGGTAAAAGCGTTGATACAAGTTTTATGGGCACTAGGTTTATCATGGGATGCGCCTGTACCTCCGGATCTAACTGAAAAATGGTCTAAGTTCCTCCAACAACTCCCTTTCTTAAGTGAACTTAGCTTACCTCGATATGTTTCCGTAGCTGATGCTGTTCATATCAGTTTACATGGATTTTGTGATGGGTCTGAAACAGGTTACGGAGCTTGTGTCTACTTGCGATGTGTAAGTTCTTCCGGAGAAATCAACGTACATCTGTTAATTGCCAAAGCTCGAGTAGCTCCTCTTAAGAAGATCTCCATCCCTAGACTAGAATTGTGTGGTGCCCATCTTTTGTCCAAACTCCTGAACTATTGCAACTCTCTACTCTCTCAAGATTATCTTGTCAACGAATTACATGCTTGGTGTGATTCATCTGTAGTCTTGTCATGGATAAAAACTGTACCCTACCGCTTAAAAGTTTATGTTGCAAATCGAGTCTCAGAAATTCAAGAACTTACTCCTACTTACATATGGAAACATGTCTCAACTCATTGTAATCCAGCTGACATTGCCAGTAGAGGAACCCTTCCCATTTCTATGAAAGACAACAGTTTATGGTGGAACGGTCCCAATTGGTTATCTCTGGATCAGGAATCATGGCCTATTCCTCGCTTCACCCCTCTCCAAGACGAACAATTGCCAGAACGTAAGGTCGAACCTTTACCAATAATGGTTACAACTAAAAAACCAGACTTATTCAACAGGTTTTCATCTTGGTCAACCCTCCAGCGAGTCATTGCTTACGTTCTACGCTTCAAAAATAACCTTACAAACCAGGTTAAAGAATCAGGGTTTTTAAAGCTTGAAGAGCTTGATAAAGCAACAATCACTATCTGTAAAATGATTCAGCAAACTGTCTTTTCTGAAGATATTTCTAGATTGAAAGATGGAAAACCTTGTTCCTCTCGTCTCGCGTCTCTCTCCCCCTTCTTAGACGAAAATGGATTGATTCGTGTTGGAGGCCGCCTTAAGCACTCTCAAGTATCCTACGCTGCAAAGCATCCTATTGTATTGCCCAAAACTAACCATGTCACCAATCTCATCGTTGATCATTACCATTTGAAACACTTGCATGCTGGACCTCAGTTTTTACAAGCCGTTTTATCTCAGAAGTTTTGGATCCTATCTGCTCGAAGTATTATTCGAAGAAGAGTTTACAAGTGCATCCGATGCTTCAAATGCAATCCTAAGACAACAACTCAGAAAATGGGAGATCTTCCTCCACAACGAGTCCTACCCTCAAGAGTGTTCAACAACTGCGGGACGGACTTTTTAGGCCCATTCTCAGTTAAACCTTGCAAATTAAGGAAGTCCTGTCCAATCAAAGTATACGTTTGTATCTTCATTTGTTTTTCTGTCAAGGCTGTACATTTAGAGGTTGTTACAGATCTCAGTTCCGAAGCTTACCTAGCAGCATTGACGAGATTTGTCTCTCGACGAGGGTTGTGTAGCAACATCTACTCGGACTGCGGAACAAATTATGTAGGTGCCGCTAATGAAGTTCAAAAGATTGTTAAGAATTTCTTCGTCCAGAAAGAAACTCAAGAAGCTCTTAGTAAGTTTGCAATGGAAAACAACATTACATTTCATTTCTTACCCCCCGCAGCTCCACACCAAGGTGGCCTTTGGGAGAGAACTGTCCGCAGTGTCAAACACCATCTTCGGAGAGTCATAGGCGAACAGATTCTTACTCTTGAAGAGTTCATCACACTAACAACTCGCATCGAAGCAATTCTAAATTCACGGCCCATAACCCCACTTTCATCTGACCCCAGCGAAATTGATTGCTTAACTCCTGGTCATTTTCTGATTGGAGGACCTCTTTTATCTCTTCCCGAACCTGACTGGAAAGATGTCTCAACAAACAGATTGTCAAGGTGGAAGTTTGTTCAAGCCTTAACCCAAAGTTTTTGGAAAAGATGGCAAAAAGAATACCTCTACACGTTGCAACAACGAGGGAAATGGAGAAGTCCTCAACCTAACATAAAAATTGGAGATCTTGTCCTATTGCATGAACCAAATCAACCTCCCCTTTCATGGCGAATGGGACGTGTCATTTCAACTTCCCCAGGGCAAGATGGTCTTGTACGAGTTGTACAGTTAAAAACTTCATCAGGAACACTCTCCAGACCTATAACTAAAGTCTCACCCCTACCAATCAATGATGAATGACGAAAGAAGTTAGACTGTTAACCATCAGTTTATTGTAAATAATATGTTCATTTCTAAAATAATTTTTTTTCTCAATACTTCATTATTAGGTGAACCCCTCTTAGTGGTTCACGGGCGGGGGTATGTTCAGTATTCAGTGTAATTAATTGTGATTTGTTATAATAATACTTTCTATCAACTAAAAATAAATACAGATGGCATTGGTTTTTAATTTGGTTTAATGTTTAAAACAACATATGTGATTTAACAATGAAATAATTTATTAGTAATTTTGTTAGTTAAAAAACAAACACAAGACTCAAGATCCCTCTCTCTTCTGTAATCTCTCTTTAAAGTTCTGTAAAATCATTGAAAGTTTATTTGTTAATATTAAAACTATTTGTTAATTGTGTTCTAATTTGAAGAATGAAAACTCCGCTTAACTTATAAATATACAGTCCACTCAATCCACTCTACATGCTATCGAAATTCTACAACATGTATCTGGAAAATATAAACAAATCGACAAACAAAAAATTTTAACACTAAATTTGTCTACGGTTTTCAAAGAATCCAACCTTCTCGCAAGATTAGTATTCCACCATTGAAAGTGCCGTGAATAGAGCCAAAATGTATAAAAAAGTCTGGAATATGTCGTTTTCAGTTCCAACAAAAGTTTCGAACAAAGTTTCGTTTGGCTTTTTAATGCACTGGATACGCACATACATTTAGACATAGGTATTTGATTTATTTATGGATTATATCTCTTTGCTTGTAGCTTGACATTCTGTGTTATTCTTGAAGACTGAGATTAAAATGACCCTTGAAAGTTGAGCTTCATAATTGCTGACACAAAATCAATACATCACTTTGTCAAACTGTCAATATTCAGAACTGACAACGTAGAATGCTGAAGCTTCAAAGACACCTTCTCTGGAACTGACTGATTGATTTGATAATTAGCTCTTGATTAATGTCACTGATGAAACTATCTAGTTGGTATAATTGTTACATACAAATTAGGAATATAAAAGTAGACTAGATCTATAGTAAACCTTTCAAGGTTTGTATCTAAACTATGCTATGGAAAATGTACACATTTTGCGTTAATAACTTCTAAAAGAGTATTAAATAGAGCTTCAGAAATCGCCCCCGAGAATAGGAGGACTGCGAAAACTTGTTTCTATAAATTATAAAATTTAAAAATTGTCTATTTAATAGAAAATCTGTTAGGCTTATGCATTTTTTACGTATCTAGATCACTAATGAGTGAAATTGTAAAAACCATCTCCACGAATAAAGACTTGAACATGTTTAGATATAAACAGTTTAATCTTAAAAACCGATACCTAAATGTCAGGTACGTCTGTCAATGTTGTTTAATCATAAAATGCAAGAAGATTATAGCATTGGATTTGGAATGGGATAATAGTCAAAGATTATAGATTGTAGAAAGCTCTTTCTTTGTTTTCCGAAGCTAACCTTGAACTGGATATGTTCTTATCATTAACTTTTACAGACGCAATTATGTACTGCAACAATTATGTAACTTTACTCATACGATAGTGACTTTACTGTAGTGTTCTGTATCTTTTGTAGCAGCAGCATAGTTTGGTTCAAATATTTTTTGACGAGGATAAAAGGATTGAACGTTCAACCGTAGTAATTTGTCAACAATATTGTACTGAAATTATTTATGAAAAATATATTTTAATATGTTGGCCTTACTTGTGACCATTGAGTATACACGTAAAGGTGTATACGTATACAATCAATCGTGTGACATTATTCTATGTTAACCAGCAAGCTTTACATAAAGCCCCTATTGTCGTTACATAATGCTGTTTCGTATAAAGACAAAGACCGCAAAAGGAAACTTGTAAGAATAGTAATTCATAATTAAATATATCTCTGAACTTAACGGCTAGTTCACGAACTAAAAGGTCATGTTCACGGCCTGAACTAAATGTGCATTATATTATCTTTGTAATGTAACCGATATTAGTCCATCGTTATGAAAAATATAGTAATACTTTAATATATAAATACTTCTGAACTTGTTTTTCGTGTCTTGCTCATCTTGAGTTAAAGTTTTTTTCCAGAACACTACATACAAGTTTTTACACTTATTTCTCTAATAAACAAACTTCTTTTGGTTTCATAAACGTTACCAAAATGACCCTGTACTGTCTAGTAAAGTAAAATCTTCAATAATGTACATTTTCCCAAAGGCTCAATGGCACCATATTTGAAGGGTATATGGAAAATCAGTAACCTTTTGAATTGTAATAATACATAATTGCACAACTATGTATGATAAACAACTATGCTACTTAACCGTACCATTGTAATGAGTTCACTTACAGTTGAGGAACCAGAATAGACCAAACTGTATATGTTTTTACCGTCATAATTGAAAAATTGAAATTTAATATTAATTATTAATCATCAAAACTAGGTTTGGACAAACTTGTAAAATTGTTATGTTATACTAGCAGAGTACCCGTCCTTCGTACGGGGTTGGCAAATAAGTATAAAATGCTTATTGCAGTTATACCCGATCTTTGCGTTTGCGATATGAGAAAACACGGTTTGAGACAAATTGCTTCCTCAAATTTACGGTATGCGATAGTATTACACATCTACCATAGCCATAATGTTCTACTACTTCACCTACACAATAGAGAAAGATAGATTATTAAAAATTCGCAAAATTTCATTAAATTATTCATGAAATTAAAAACATAAACATAATTGTGAACAATCCTACTTTGACAGTTCTCATTGTGTATCACAGTTTTTTTGTTGCTGCTTTGTTCAAATTAGCTGTTTTCATAAATAATGAAAAAAATAATAGTGCTGCACCCTGTTGGTAAATCTTATAAATTTTTAATTTTTTTGCATATCATAGAACCAACTCTTTTAGTTGAAACAGCTGGCTAAATTCTTTAATTCCCTTTAAATATGAATACTCATAAGGTTAACATGGGGAACTGCAGAGCCACTGGGGCGGAGCCCAAAAGGATTTTTGAGATAAGAATATGCCTATATGTTAATCGGGAATGTGAGCTATCATCATGCCAAATTTCAGCCCAATCCGACCAGTATTTTTCGTGTTTACTTGTCACAAACATACGGTACATCCATACATCCAAACTTTCTCATTTATTATATTAGTAGGATTATTATTTATTCTACAGCAGACGTCAATGTGTATAGTTCGGCCGCATAGAAAACGACCTGCGCGCTAATGCTAAACCAATGCTGGAGGAGGTCGTTTTCTAAGCGGCCGACCTATAGTAAAATCTCAATTTAAAAAATACATTTGAATTTATATAACTGTGTTATTTCAGAATATCTTTAATACGTGGTATATCTTAAGAATATAGAATCTTTAACCCACCCCTTGCTAAAACATCAATGGAAAGTGGAACTGAAATGGATTTTGTTATGACTATTTGGAGCAAAAACAAGACCCGATATTTGAGTTGCATTATTACCATTTGCAACAGATAAGTCAGCCCTGTTTTTAAAACTTGAGGAGTTGGACGGTTGAACTACTAGAGGATTCTTTTTATACACACTGCGTCTCGTAAACCCCCAATGGTAAAAATTGTTTTGGCGTGGTGTTCGTGGAGGCTATGTAAACATAATCCATCTTCATACGTTGGAGTGGATTGCAATTGCAATTAATTGCAAGTGCAAAAACCGATTGAGCAATTTGCTTTATTCTCATAGCATTATTTATGGTTTGTTTTACGTGTTCTATAATAGGGCTGGACAGAATTGAGTCAGTTAGGTTTTGCAATATCACTTTTCAACTAAACGAATGATTTAGGTTGTTCTTCCTAAAGTGCAGTAACAATATCGGTTAGAACAGTATACTCGATGTTTTGAGCTGAAAAATTGACCTCATTTGCCCAAACTTTGACCTGACTAATTACAAATTCTGTTTGCAGCGACCGCACTATTTACTACTCTGTTTGCGGCTTTCTGTTTGTTAAATCAACAGAACATTTAAACACTGAAATGGAACGGTTTCATAGCAGTGTTACCAGTTTGGTTATGCAGCAAAACAGGCGTTTGAAATTTTTGAAAAGAAACGCAAGTGATGTTTTAAAAATTATTTTTACTCGACAGAATAAAGAATATTATAATTTGATTTACAATATTTTATCAGCCCCTCACATTTAGGACGTGGATTAATTTGTTTCTCCGGTATAATTCAGACAGTCAACAACTTTGTCCAACTGTAATTACAAAGTTCACATTCTAAAGCCACATTCAATTTGAAGTTGTGTGTGAAGCAGTTGGCATTGTTTATAGATAAACCGCTGAAACAATCTGGATTTATCAACACTGGTTCTGTATTGAACAGCTTACTAGAGAATCTGTTAAATCATTTCATTGATTGCCTTTTGTAGTAAATAAGTGCGTATGACTATTTTCCCCTTATTGGTGTTAAAATCTTATTATAATTGAAAGAATGTTGATTTACAAAACTCCCAAAAGTAGATGAAAAACTATGCTTTATGAGTTTACGTGTAATTCATATATTTTTTATTTAACTGTGAAGGACGTAATAATCCATATTAAAAGCTTCAAACAGAGTGAAATGCAGTGTTTAACTTCTGTGTCGTATGTGATCACCATTAATTTGTAGGTACATGCATTCGTAGGCAGATGACTACCAAATTGTTCTAGCCAGGCCTACTCTGCTTGATGAAGGGCCGTTGCAGCTTAATGAATGCCATGATAATGTGAGAGGCCCTTCAAAGATTTGTAAATGGTCCAGAGATCATGGGTTTAGATTTAAAACTGAAAATTGCTCTTTATGCGCTTTGCCAATGTTATGTTATGCTCAACAACTTCACTTGCCGTACGTGACCGAATGAAAACGGTCCACTGAGGATTGATGCAATGTTGTTGAATTTATTGGAACATAACTATTGTTTGAAGTTGTTCGCACATTAGCTTCGGCAATTGCCACTGTATACCGGCCAAGCGGAAAAGTGAATATTTGCCGTTGTAAGACTTCCAACCACCAGGGCTTCGTCTTAGGATGTTGAGCGGTGGGTGCTAAGTTAACTGCTTTACTTTTAAGGTAATTTTGATTTATATAATTTTACAACATTACCAAACATTACTTTGGCTAGTGGATTTTAGTAGTTTATATGGACTAAAGTAAGGTTTAAGACACTCAAGCATGGCAAATCCTATGTTAGAAAATGTGCAAGGGTCGAAAAGACCTTTTGGTATGTGTGATGAACTAATTTTTTTGTTATAGTCCCCCTAGTTTGCAATAAAACACTTGCATATTGTTCATCTTTATAAGTTAATTTTCATCATTTTCCATCTCGTTTTGTTATATGAACAAACAGCAGTTATGGATTCTTCTAGTTGTCATAAAGAAAGAAAATAAAGAATTTTGATATTACTTGCTAAATAGCTTGTTTTTAGGAACTTTGATTCTATCAAGAATGTTTTTTTAAGATCTATAGAGGTATTTCTACTCTGTTGTTATGTCACAATTTTTTTAGCAACACATGGTTTGGAAACATTCAAAATAGTGTTTTGTTTACCTATAAAACTTTCTCAATAATGTTTATTTGCTGATTATTCAAAAGAAACTTATTTCATGACTTTTTTACTTGCACAGTCTATTCCCAGAAAATCATTTATCATGATTTTTATTCCAAACAAATAAACTACTTTTTTCAGACGAGAGCACTTAAACCCATTGAACTGAGTTGATCATTACAATAGGTACCTAATTTTTTAAACTATAACATTTCACTATTTCCAAATTGATTGTCATAACGTTACTCTAAGCTGTTATTCTTCACATTATCATTTAAGGATCAACGGTACACTGGATGATTTTTGTTTTATGATTCATATTGTAAAATAATATTTTTTTAATTTTACTTAAGCTTATTAAAACTTGGTTTTCTTAAAAAAAAGGTTTTCTCATGGTGATAGAATCTTCAAATTTTATTTCCATACTCTTGAAGTCATTTTTATAGTCAAAATATTCTCTGTTTATCCTTAGTCATAAAGTATTCAGCTACCCACTGTGGTCTAACACTAAAATCCTCCATGTCAAACACCATTAATAATTTATCAGTTTTGGAATCATTTACTGAGTGTAATGGTGCAAAAATGGTTTGATTACAATTCATGATTCCATACCATAGGCTACACATTTTTTGTTCTTTTTAGTGAATTTCCCTATAGGGAAGTATAGATTATATATTACCGTATTTGGCACGGTAAGACCTTGGCTCAGGACGGATTTACTTTTTAATTTAATGTCCCCAGAGACTAAAAACAACACTATTCATTCAACTGTTATATATGTATATAAAATATATGTTATATCTATCTATATAAAATCCAATGCATGTTTGTTTGTTTGTCCTTTATCGACTCAGAAACCGCTCGACAGATTGTAATGAAACTTTCCGGTATTATTCAAGGGTGGTTTGTGTGAAGTTTGATGCAGATCCGTCAAAAGGGCTCCGCCCCATGCTCTGGAGTTTCCCCATGTTAACCTTATGAGTATTCATATTTAAATGGAATTAAAGAATCTTAACAGCTGGTCCAACTAAAGAATTTGATTCTGTGATGTTCAATAGCATTAAAAATTTAATAGGTTCACCAACAGGGTGCAGCACTATTATTTTTTTAAATTTATGACAACAGCTGATTTGCAACCAAAAGGTGAGTGAGCGTAGCGAACGAACTTCAACCTGGAGGTGAGTTATCGTAGGGAACGAGCTAACTTGAAGGCAAGTGAGCGCAGCGAACGAGCTCCAACCCAAAGGTGAGTAAGCGTAGCGAACGAACTTCAACCAGGACGTGATTGAGCCATGCGAACGAGCTCATCTTGAAAATGAACGAGCATTTGACATAAAACCACATTAGGACAGGACGTCTGTCGGGCCAGCTAGTGTGTATATAAATGTGTCCTTCAACACCATATCTTGAGTAATCTTTGTCTGATTTTGATGAAAGTTGATTTGAATATGTATGGCAAGATAAACTTGGATGAGTACGCAAACCAGCGAGATTGGGTCATGGGAACGGGGTTTTATGGGGTAAAAATGGAGTTTTCTAATTTTTTACCCTCAAAATATAAAATTTCCGGATTTCTCTCTAAACCATTTTGAAGAACTTAAAAGCAATAATTTAATACTGTATATTAAAGTGTTTTTGTAGGGTTATTGGTTACAAAGAAAATTCAAAAACAATATTAATCAAAAATTTACATGTAATTCTTATGGATATATTTTGATCTTACTTTGCATATTTATTTATTTTATAATAAACTAATTTTACTTAAGACACACTTTATTAACCTCCCTTCAGCAAACCTAGGTACTGTAACTTGTTAAACCTAACGCTATTTAAATAGATTTAATTGGAAATCTAATAAGGCAAATGGAAATGCCCTTAGTCTACAGGTTCCCTGTGGCAGGGGTATTTCCTGATACTGTATTGTAATAAAGTTGATAAACCCCTCTTCATGAGCTTTTAACTATTTTTCATATTGATGTAGGCTCCGGATTACGTTTAACATAGACTAACAATTGGAGTGAATACCTGCTTTGATTTAATCCAAATTGTTACGAAGTCACAACTAGTTTTAACTAGGCCTATCAAGAAGTCATCTTTAGGTTTCAAAGGATGTCATGATCACTTCATCAGCTGGAGGTCGTCGAATCACATATTAAAATACATAGCCATGTATACTGTCTGTGTAGTATATTATGTGAGTTAATGGAACAAAAACATTCCGGATACCGAAACTTTGCAAACATTTTTTTTTTACAATGCTGGTAATGTATGATATTTGCTATATTACCTTTGAACTTTCAAATAACATACCTAAACTAAATATTACATCAAAAACAAATATGTAATTAAGTTTTCCTTAATTTTGAGTTGAGATGATTTTTCATATTCATATATTTGTTGTTTCAGAGGTGGTGGCCGAGACCTCGTAGCAATGCCTGAGAGGTAGCTCCCCAGACATGCTTTGGGCCACTCTGTTCCTTATCAATGGAGCAAGTTTTGTTGGTAAGTTTCAACAGAGCAATCAAATAAAGCTGGTGGCTCAAATGAGACTCCCACCATCTCTACTATAAATTGTCTACCTTTTATCTTCCATACCTTACTAAACAAATAACTCAAACCAATCACCAACATAACTTCAAAACTTCTCTAGGTAATACATCACTTATATTTCCTTGTAAATGTGTTGCAGGGTCTATGCCATCAGCAGGATCGCCAGAAAATATAACCATAATGTTCCTCAGTCCAACGTCAGTCAAAGTGTCGTGGCACACGTCCATAGACCATGTAGAGAAGTACGATGTCACGTACAAGCCAACAGACGCCAGGTCAGTGTCATTGATACAGTTACACAAAAGATTATTGATATACTATACAGTATACAGGGTATACATAAAAGAGTGAAAATTTAAAAACGTACGTTTTTATGTCCCTGGCCTTTTACTTCGTAGATACTGGATTTGTAGTTTATTATTATGTGTTTTAATATTTTTTGGGACGGGGGCAACATGTTACACACATTTATTTGGTTTTAAATAGGTTCTAGGTATTTTTTTCGTATTTTTAAAGTCTCGAAATTCACGACCATGACGTGTCCCTAGGGTACATTTTCCAACTTTCACGCTGTTTTTAGACTAATTATTCATGCCGAAATATATAAAGCCATATTTTTATGTCATCAATGGTTATTAAACTTACAAAAAAGGAGCATATTATAATTTTATTGTCATTGCAGACTGACTACCATGACAAAATAAGTCTGTCCCTCGATTTGGCGTCACGACCATTTGGGAAAAATTTTCAACTTTGGAGCACGACAGTGGCAAGCCTGGCGTCGATGGAGTCAGTTGGTTTTAGAGACTAGTTCGGGGTGTACGTCAGGATTGTAGTGCCGGTCGTTTTGAGTTGAAAGGAGGAATTACAAGATTAATAAAGGAAAGATTGTGTTTTTTGTAATTTTGGTGTGTCCATGACCGTACGTAGCCATTCGATGAAGTAGACATGGTGTTAATTTTTGTTTATAAGATATTTCAATTGCTAGATTAACCTAGAAGTCCACTTTGTATCCTCGAACATGAGGTGCAGGGCTACCGCCAGAACAGAGCCAAATAACACGTAATTTCACGACCAAAGTTTCACGACCATCGCTGTTTTTTTCACGACCAATCCAGCCTTATGGATTATAGTGTGTTTGGTCGTGACAATAACTTTAGTATAATTGTAAATTGAACAGTTTAGTTCAATTGAAACACATAGTTTTATTATAACTAACAGTATAATTGAAGGATTGTTTGGAAAGATTTAGATTATTCCAGACAATTCACGACCGTACCGCTTGTCCCTGACCATCACGTTTATGATTTCTATCATAAAAATTTCAAAAATTAAAATATCGTCATATTTAAATGTTTTATACACAAAAGAATTACACCTCTATACAAACATAACGATTTTTCGGGTCTCAGGTAAGTTTTTTCGGAGTAATACAAACTTAAAAAGATTTTATTGGCTTTTTTCTATTTTTTGAGTTTGTTTTATTTTTTTCTAGAAAGACCAAATATACCAAAAGCTCAGTGACCTTTTTATTGTATAATGGTCATAAAAGTAAACTAGTTTATAGCAAAACATAGTTATAAAAATAATATTAACTATTTTAAATATTCATTTAAACGTCCGTTATGGTCGTGACAGGATTTTGTGTTTTTCTACTAAAGATGCTCTTTAAAAAGAAAACTACCAAAGATATTGCGTTACCATGGACATTTTATGAAACTTCAAATGTTAATGAAATAAAAAAAATAATAAAAGTTTTGAATAAAGGGGGGAAAAATTTGCAAAGTGCTTTTCCTGAAAACGTACGTTTTTAAATTTTCACTCAAAAACGTTTCAAGACTTTGGGAAATGAATCCTCATACTAAAAGCAAGAAAAAAATGTATGTGAAGGTATGTCCGAAAATGGATATTTACCCAGTTATCCGCCATTTTGTTTTTATACAAAAATATTTTTATCTGTGAAGTTTTTCATTCGAGGATTATGAAAATTGGTAACCATGTTAACATACACAAGACCAATAATAGAAAAAATAATACAGTTAGTTGTTCCGATTGTAAATTTCAAAATGGCGGCCGTTTGAATTTTACTAACTTAAATACGGTAACTCAAAAACGGCTAATTCTATGTAAAAATTTCAAGAATATACTTTTTTTAACATTTTTAATTTTCTATCAAACGATACTAAGATCAAAGAGATCGGACAAAATATATATAACTTTTTTTGTAAAAATAAGGCAAAGTTAGTCAGGAAACCCTTAATTTTGCCTTGTTTTTACACAAAAACCGTTTTTTTTTCAGTTATATTTTGTCCGATCTTTTTTATCTTGGAATCGTTTGATAGGGCATTAAAATTGCAAAAAAAAACGTATCCTTGACATTTTTTCATAGAGTTAGCCGTTTTTGAGTTATTCAAGTTAGAAAAATTCAAACGGCCGCCATTTTAAAATTTACAATCGGAACAACTAACTGTATTATTTTTTCTATTATAGGTCTTGTGTATGTTAACATGGTTACCAAATTTCATAATCATCAAATGCAAAACTTCACATATAAAAATATTATTGTACAAACAACAAAATGGCGGATGACTGGGTAAATATGCATTTTCGGACATACCTTCACAGAAACTTTCTTCTTCTTTTTAGTATGAGGTTTCATTTCCCAAAGTCCTGAAACGTTTTTATGGACACGCTGTAGGCTATATATACCTACTGCAAAACTGGCAATAGCAAAATCAATTTTTCATCTTTGAAAATGTAAAGTAAATATATAAATAGAATAGAGCCATGTAAGTCGCATATTTGAGTCTAGTATGCTTTCAAGAGATAGGGAAAGGTTGGAATTTGGTATAGGTAATGAATAAATTATATGTAAATGTGTTCTAAATAATCCTTCAAACTTCATAACGTTTCAATATACACTGAGACTTTTATAGCTATTTCCAATACAGGCTCAATTATTAGCTATAAGCTTTTATTTAACTGGTGAACTCGTTTTCTGCAATAATTTAATCAAAGAAGTATTAAAATTGGTATTCAAGACTTTAATTTATTTTCCCCCTTTGCATTTGGATTGTTTGCTAATCCACACAGTTATGGTTAAAAATTCTCTCTTTGTGCTCCAATAAAGCTTTGAGCCGAATAAAAGAAATTTTCCATTTTGCCGAGGATAAAGAGAACAACTCAGCTAATGCAGGGATGAGATAATCTCATGGAGCACTTTGCTAATCTGTTAAAGCCAGACAAACAATACAGCTTTGTCCCACAACTGTTTCCTTGCCCCGTCAACTTTATTCCACTTAAGCTAGGTTATGTTTTTTGTTTATTTGGCTCAGAAACCTTTTTTTTATTCTATTGAATAATTTAGTAAAGAATATTTTATTTCTTTTCTGTCGACATATATGCTCTTTTACTTTCAAATCAGTAATAACTCTTTCACAAAAAAAAACATACTAAAGGGTGTCCCAATAAGAACTCCGGATTTGAAATGTTAACAAACCATATATTTTCATGCTAAATTTACAATATGAAACATGAATCTCAAAGCATAGTATCTCCGATTAGTAATTGAGTATTATGTCTTGTAAGTGCCAACCTGCTAAATACTGACAGGCCCGACATCTCTTGACAAAGTTTTCCATCACTTTTTCACACACTTCCTGTTGAATTCCATTAATGGCACGAATCATTTCCTCCTTCAAGTCTTGGATTGGTTGAGGATTATTGGCGACTTTAAATATCCCCAGAATAGAACTGAGCCCATTTATTCGAACTTATAAATCAATCTTCGGACAGATGGATCACTTGGTGAACTGTCCCGGCCGTAAATAGCGCGCAGCTTCCGTACTTGTAGTGCATTTTATCTATGACCACGCGTTGATCCGTCGTGTAACGATTCATGACTACAAATGGGACCTAATACTGATAACATCGCTGATAATTTGGGAATTCCTATCGAAATACAGATAAGGATAAGACGCTCCTCAAATCCGGCGTTCTTACTGGGACACCCTTTATATTTGTCTGTACATACCTTTGAAAAATACTAAACAAATATATTGACCGTCAGTAAAATATTGTATAGCATTCATAAGTAGACAGTAAATTTACCAACCTAACTGGCCTCCTCTGGACTGACACTGCAGCTACATAAAAATTTTGCTAGCTCAAATTTATGTTCAATTGTATTAAACTCTTTCAATTAAACTACAGTTTTCTGTGAGCTCATAATCTGTTCACAACACTCTTTGATCGGTTACACGCAGGCACAGAGTGTCCTTGATTGATAATAAACAGCTATAAATTCCACATTAGAAAACAATGTTATGCTTGTTATGTAAAAGCCAGCAAAAAGGAGAAACTTATAGGGCACTGAGGCAAATTGTAAGGTGGGTCAAGTCTTCTGAAGTTCAGTAACTACAATACAGTAATTGGTTATGTATGTTATTCAATCAGACATTGTCCTAGTCCCACATGTGTACGATTGGTAAGAGACTATTCAGTATGTACATAATCTACACTGTACACAATTTATTCCTAGCCCAGTTTCTAATCCAGTCTTCAAGCCATAGCCTCTATTTCAGTTTCTAACTAAGTTCCTGGCCAAATCTCTAACCCAGTTTCTAATTCAGTCTTCATCCCAGCCTCTATTTCAGTTTCTAACAAAGTTCCTGGCCAAATCTCTAACCCAGTTTCTAATTCAGTCTTCATCCCAGCCTCTATATCAGTTTCCAACTAAGTTCTTGACCCAATCTCTAACCCAGTTTCTAATCCAGTCTTCACCGCAGCCTCTAATTCAGTTTCCAATCACTTTCTGATCCAGTCTCCCAGCCTCTATTTCAGTTTCTAACTAAGTTCCTTACCCTTACTGAATAATTGGATGTGTATGTTATTATTTAATCAGACAGTGTCCTGCCTGGTCCTACATTTGTATGATTGGTAAGAGACTATTCAGTATGTAGGCCTACATAATCTACACTCTATACAATTTCCAACCCAATTCCTAACCCAGTTTCTAATCCAGTCTTCAAACCAGCATCTAATTCAGTTTTCAACCAGTTTCTGCCCCAGTCTCCATCCCAGTTTTTAATCCTGTCTCCAACCCAGCCTCTATTTCAGTTTCTGACCCAGTCTCTAGCCCAGTTTCTAATCCAGTCCCACAACAAGCCTCTTCAGGTGGTTCTGAACAGTTACAGGGTAGTGGCAGTAGTCGCAGGCAACTCAGATTCCGTCACGCTGAGTGGTCTGATGGCCGACACGCAGTACCAGATCACAGTGACGGCCGTGCGCGACGGCAAGAAGTACAAGAGCAGACCCATAGTGTTCAGAACGTTAGGTGAGCTTTCAGCACTACATTAATATCCAACTACTGTACTTATTTCTTCTAAGGGTATTTGCTACATTGGTGTGTTTTGTGTTTGGGTTTTTGAGGCTACACACAGGTTTATTATACAGTGGAGATTAAATTAAAAAGAGATCTTTTACTTGTATTTCAACCTGCACAACGTAGACGTACCAACGAGTAGATTGAATTTTACAGCAAGTCATTATCTCTATTAATTTAAATGGGGACACCACCTCAGTGGGTATTTTAACCCAAAAATGTGTCAGATAGCTGTCTCTTGGATACTATCAGACGACAAATCATCCCATAAATGATAGTAAATCATTATGCCACAGAGAGCGGCAACATGTATTTTTCAAGTGAAGAGACTGGACTCACTAAGTTGTAAATATAATTGTTTAATTTTTTGTTTTACGTTTGCCACGATTACTCTGTGTACGATTAATGTGGCAAAGTAGTTCCAAGTGAATGTATTATTTAGTATATTTATTTGTTTTGAAGGAATAAACTCATTATTTCATTTCATTATTTCATAGTAAAAAAGTGTAAACTGTGTATTTATCCCAAACCGGTACAGCACAGATTTGTATTAAAATTGGATTTACGTTCAACTTCCCTGGTACTCGATCCTGGTATCTGCCACTTCTTTTTATCTCTACAGTTCACCCTTGTACTGTACAGTCTCATCCCTTGCTTTACAGGATACTTTGCACGCACAGATCCATATGTGGACGGGCCAATGCAAGCATAAAAGGGTCAACCTAATCAGTTTATTGATTTCTGCATTAATTTTCAATGAAAAATGGGAGTACCCCTGCCGCATCAAACCTGTAGACTAAAAGAATTTCCATTTACCTGACTGGATTTCTACTAAAATATTCCCTTAAAATTGTCAGATTTTTTTCCTATTTCAATAACATTTGTTTTAATGAGTAGGTACTTAGGTTTGCTGCTACAGGGAAGGTAATGATTAATGTTTTTTATTGAAATGTTGATAGCTTAGTAAATAATCAAATTCAATTACCAAACTTTCAAACTTTGGCCAATCAAGTCATCAATGACGTCGTTAATATTAATATTTTAATACTTATCAAAATATTTCTAAAATAAAGTTTAAATGAATGAAATATCAAAATATTTCATTCAAGACTTCATAACTTATCAAAATATCTCTAACTAAAAGGTTTGGATGAGTGAAATATTGACTGAGTAGTACAGTGGTGAAAAGGTCTGGCCTTCAAATCTGAAGGTTAAGGTTGTTAGTCATCCTACAAAGGATCAATTCAGCCCTTGCCAATTAGTTGCTGTTTCATTTTAGAAAAAGTAATATAACTCTTTTAGCGAATTTCCCTTTAGGGAAGTAGCTTACCGTAGGTGGCATGGTAAGACCTAGGCCCGGGACCGATTTACTTTTTCATTTTGATGTCCCCAGAGGCCAAAAACACTATTCTTTAAAATTTATATATATGTATAAATATATAAATATGCACTATCGATTTATATATATATATTTATATATGTCAGTGAATGCGATAACTTGAGTATTTTTTATTAAGTAGTATTTTAGTTGGGTAGTTACAATCCCTTTTGTTTCCTTATCAAACAATAACCTTAATTTTTTTATTAAAACTGTTTATTAAAAGCTGTTACATGAAAAATTATTGTGAAAGGGTGGGTGTAATATTTTAATAAAGGATACAAAATTGAGAGATATTTTATAAAGAGTTCTCTACCAACCCCATGATGTCAATATATAGCTTTTCTGGATACGTTTTACATGAATAACAGTTCAAAGCATAAAGGTCATATTTTTAGTGTATTGGAACTAGTCATGCAAAGTCTCTATTATCACCACATGTTGTTAAATAACACGCTCTGTTGTTCAAAGGCATTCCATTTTAACGATAATTGCTATTATATTTAATGCGCTTTATGGCCTGTCAACATGTAACTTTTACAAACCAGCAAATAATCTATCTCTTCTCAATACTCAATATGGTCACAGCAAGACTATTCTAGGTATTATTAACTCATGAATACAGTAAAACCCATCTGGATATAATAGTATCTTTCATCACTCGGGCGTAAAGTGACTCTTTTCAACCCGAGCTCGGAAAATGAGCAAGGGTTGAAAAAAACACTGTTGCTAATGTATTTTTATTTTTAATTGAAATATAATTCAAGACTGTTTTAGCTGACCACAGTTTAAGGCCATCCTTATAAATCTCAATTTCTTTGAAATTTACAAGGATTGTTAGTCAATCATAGTTTTAAAACTTATTAAACTTATAAATAAGTTATTGAACTTATAAAATAACTGAATTTAGTTGAATAAATAGGTCTAGCTGTTAACCCCAAAATACCTGTTGCTCAAAGTCAAAAGGATAGCATTTATTTGCAAATTGTTTAAACTAGAAAATTAGAAGATCTTAGTAACCAAGACTCTGAAACCTTTTCAACCTCAAAGTATAAAATCAATCATGGTCATCAATACAACAATTACTTTCCCATGTTGCCCATTGGTATTGCCAAATTTGGTAAGTTTTAGTTTTATACTGTGAGCTGATTGAAATCAAGCAAACCAAGTTAATCCTTATAAATGCGAGTTAAATGAAATTCTGTTATGAATTGTAGAGTTTAAAACTATTATTCATTTTTGTGTATTCGACCTAACACTAAGCCAAGGCCCCACTAGAAGCACTAAGCACGGGTTAAACTAGTTTCTAAAAACAAAATATACTTTAAATATAAAGTTAATAATTTAAAAACTATGATCAAATTATTTGGGTTTTGTTTTATTTTTAACAACACACACAGCTCAATGTAAACAGGTAAATGTCACCTGGCCCAGCCTGTTGCATTTGGTAGCATGAGAGTTGCTATCCATCATGTGACATCACGCAAGAGCTCATACTGTTCAGTAATGTTTGTGAATAAAACCAACATGCTGTAACTAGCCCACCATATTAATTAACTTTTTATCATACCCTTTATTAAGTAATCAGTTGAAATCATAGTACTGTGTTGTTTTGAGATGATTATTAAACCAAAGTTTCGTAGTGGACAAGTATTATTTAATTTTTTTTATCAATGCTATTGCGTATCTCACTTGTTACTACATGCCACCTGTTTGGAAAAATTGTGTTTGGATAATGTTACGACATAATGTTTCAATTGTTGTCCTGATTAATATTATCGAGCAGATCGAGCATTGCTCTTAAATTAAACTCCAGCTTTTGTTCTACAATTAATTACCCCTCCTGAATGGCTGAAGCGATATGCATGGAGTTTAGCACGGTCATAGTAACAAACTATGAGAATGTATATCGCAGCCTGGTAGAATTGGCAACGTCAGAAGTGGTGTTGCTTAGCACCAGACGTCTCAAAAAATTAGATGGTAGACAGGTGACACCAGCTCATTAATTAGCGTATTAATTATTTAAATTCAAATTTATTAATATACATTTAAACGATTGAAAATAAGACATATAGAATTGAAAAAAAACCAATATAAATTGAAAATTTATTTCTGTACAATTAAAATGGAATCAATATTTGCATAGCCCAGTAACCAAGCTTTCGTATTGGTTCTATTGGTTCTTAAAAAGTACACAAACCATTAGCTTCCTCCAAACAAAACAGCTGTTACAACACTACTTGCGATGTTGCCACTTCAATGGCCGCGGCCTGGAGTTAAAGGTGGTCGTGGTTTTTTCAAATGACGAAGGGGGTCAGGGATGGGACCTACCTGCAGCCAACGAAAACAAACCTTATAGGCCCTCATAGGCCTCATAGGCTGCAGAAGGACCCCATCCCCAACACTCACAAAAACACCCCAACACTCCAAATCACACACTCAGATGAGTGGCGATGTCATATCCAATCCAACAATTTAAAATATATTTTCCACAGTAAATAAAGTCAATAATTAAACAAATAAACTAATTACACTGAGAGTGATGTATGCAATTCAAATTGTATATATAGTAGCAACTCATATTTATCAAAAAGTTCAAAGGAAATTCTTTTCTCAAAATCTCAAATTAACATTCCAATGAATCTCAAGCATTTAGAGGGTTTAGTAGTGTTACATCAGTAAAGGAAAGGCCAATTGAAAGATAAGCTAGTGGCAGACAGGCGTAACGAAGTGGCACCGATGAATAAATTACATGGCGAAGACATGCCACTACTGACGGTTGATCAATAAGGTATTCTTCATCGACCTAGGTTGTGGTCAGACTTGGTCAGTAGAAGCTATAGCTGGTCAGTGGGAACTTCCATTGTGTCTTTGCTTGAGGTAAAACGTTTTAAGTACTGTATGCTTTGTCAACTTTAAAGTGGAATTTTTATGTCTTTATTTTAATGGATATGTAAGCCAATCTTGCAATGTAATCTAGATATTTGTGATTGACATTTGTGATATAGTTTTCAACTGTGATGTTCCTCAAGGTTTTTGTGATTTTAGAACATTTACGTCTCAAGCAATTATTAATTTATTAGCGCTGTTTTTTGTTTTCATAAACACTCTTTTCACTATTCAATTCAGCAAAGAAAAACAATTTTTTTTACCTATATGTCAATACCGATATGTTAAAAGTGCTGAATGCTGTACACTGTCCTCCATGTTATTCTTCAAAGATAAATGATTGCTGTAATGCCAATTATACTTTATTTAAATATGTTTTCTCAAAATTTAGCAAATTTTGTTATTTTATATTTGGCTTTGAAAATTAAATAAAAAACTGTTGTTTAAGTATTACAAAGCAGCAAACCTAAAGACTTTTTGAACCAATATTTTTTTAACAAGTTGGTGTATTTGGTATGCTTAAGGAAGGTCGGCCGGTCGGATTTAAGTGTAAATTCTCTTTTTTTGTCATAAACCAGTGTGTAAAACTCACCAAGTAACCCTAAATTCACTTAGATTGCAGCAGCTTTGTTGCAATAGTATATTTATTTCTCTTTGGGTGCCATAATGTAAACTAACAATCTTGAATATTTTGTAACTCTGAAAAATACAACACAACAGTAATTAGAAATCCACTAAATATGTATATAGCAGTCACAAATAGAAATACATAAATAAATAAAAAATATTTTAGAAAATTTAAAATGAAATAAAAATAATATTTTTGTACAGTGCAAAAAATATTATCCTTCATTCTACTGAGAGAGAATATGACATGCACAAATTCATCTGTTTGGTAGCTAAATACAGTACATGCAGTTCATTTCAGTCCCCCTAAATTAATTGATTTCTAACCACAAATTGATTGCATTGGTGCTTTAGCAATTTGTAAATGAATCCTGGAACTCTCGTATTGACGTAAATAGACTAATTTGTCTTCACAATTCTACCCCAAATTCCCCATCCATTTCCATTTCCTTGCCCAAATTCCCCCCCTTAACAAATGGTTTGGTATAACCAGAAAAAGCTCTTATACTGCTACAACATGAATCAAAACTGTATATTGCTATGTACAATAATCATACAACTCAGTAAAATGACACGAGCTCATCAACTGTGATCTAGGATGGCATTTCTGTCATAGCTGGTATAGTCTAATCAATCCTCAATGTATATTGTTAGCATTGCCATTTTCTGAGAAAACATCAGTAGGGGGCCTACTCATCTAGAATACATACCATAATTTATGTATTTAACAGATTAAAGAAGAGGATATGGCTGTTTAATTATATCTATACTATAATAGGAGTAACATTTGCGCACAATGATTTCAAAAACGGCTCTTATGATTTCCTCTTAAATGTTAGGAATATCAGTTTCAGGCTAAAAATACTATCCATGCTAGCCCCTGTTCTGGGAAAATTCGGTTTTCGTTAAAAACTCTAAATGAAAATTTAATATTTTTAACAAATGTCTTTTAGAAAGCAACGTAGCCATGACTGACAGATGTACGAAAATGTAAATAAATGAACTGTCATATACCAAATCATATACATTACAGTGGCAAATTACTAAACAAAGTACAAAAGAAAAGGTCATTCCCAAAAATACCAATTAGCATTGGTTATTTAATACACTTGGGGTGTTTTATTTAGCAATGAGATAATTACAACTGTTCAAAATCGTAGAATATTTTATAGCCGCATAATAAGATTTATACTATAATGCATTATACACTAATGCTGAACAAAGAGGAAAACCCAAGGAATTTCTGTTGTTTTTTACATATGACATACCAAATTTTATTTTGTGAGTATAAATTAGCTTATTATTTTTACTTTCTTAACTGTTCATTTGGTTTGTTCCAGAGTTACCCAGAACGAACGAGGTACAAATCACACCCCCGGGGGTCAGAGGGGGGGGCCCGCGAGGAGTGCCCCCCCTTACCAACATGCCCCCAACTTATATACAGGTAACTTCTTATACATAACCCAATAATTATATACACTATACAGATAACTTAGGCTTCTGCTAATGAAGCTGTTTCATGGAAATGAGCTTTTTTACTACACAATAGAGGCCTAAGTGTGAGTGTGACAAGTTTTTTTACTGTACTGTTATTTTTTTGTGATCACACAATGACAGAATGTAGGTGATAAAACATGGTTGCACCCTTTACAAGATATTACAAAATTGTTATAATTAATAAGCTTCTATACAGTTAGATGCACTTACTGAACACCTCTTTAAGCTGCTGGTTCCGTCTGTAGTAAGTAGACCTACGACAGTGAGAGAGATAACAGTGTCTGACAAAAGAGGCTGTTGTAGTTTTCCCTCACAAGCGGTAGTTTTAATTTTTTCCTCTAATAAGGGGTTGACAATGTCAGGGTAACTAGCGCACCTGGCGGCTACTCTAACAACTCTTAAGCTCAAACTGGCGCGAGAATATCCGATAATCCACCGTCTTAAACTGGCTATTGGCTGCCGGTTAACCCACTTAATTGCTTCACATTAAAAGCAATGTACTTGTATTTTAAGGTGAATGAGAGGACAAGTGATAATGGGATGAGATTATCTATGATTAACATCAGCTGTCTCAATGACTAACAGCTGTATTAATGATTAACATCAGCTGTTTCGTTAGGATAATTGATTAAAAACCCAATGATGAAGGAAAGACATAGTTTACATCCCTCTACTTACAGGTGCGTGGGGTGGAGGTGGGCATTGTAGTGCTAGTATTGATGGTCTGGGTAGCAGCCATCATTTTGTTCTTCAACCGCTGGGGGAAGATCCGAATGCTGCTACCTTACCAACCAGACTACAAGGAGACCCAACTCAAGGTGACCAAGGTGACTGCATCAGAGGTTCCTAAACATTTCATTACTCTTTCTTTACAATAAAGTAGATTCAGTATATTTTTCATCCTGTTACAGATAAGTAAGCTTACGTTACAGTATTTGATATTGCAGTATGTTGATTCCTCCCATAAAAATAATGAAAAAGGTTATGCTGAATAATCTAGCCCAGAAATTTTTTCTTCTTGGAACCATTGTTGCAAGTCACTACCATTAGCTTTGGACGTTTGAAAACATTAATTTTTTAGAAAAATTCGATCGTTATACTATGCTTTTAGAAATGTATTAAGAACATTAGTTTTAGGAAATGGTTTTTAATTCTTCTTTAGCAGCTTTCAAAATAGTGTAAAAAATGTATTAGTAGTCATTATCAAGACTGTTTAAAAATGTATCAATATATCTTCGTGTGCTGTTATTTTATTCTAGTATTAGTTGTAGCTCTTTTTATCACCACTCCTATATTTCTGAATTTGCAAAATGTAACAGCCATACTGAAGAATTTCACAAAACAGCTTATAAAATTTCCTAGGTTAGGAACCAAAACGTTTATGAGTACTATAGGCAAATTTTCAGCCACTGTAAATCCTTTCCTCTATAATTACCTTTTAAAGACTTTTGTCCGAAGATAGTGCCTTTTATTCTAAGTTACTGTTAATGGTTAATAACTTAACTATCTTTTCCGCTACAATTCCCCTTTACCTAGACTGGTAATTTCATTAGTCTGTTTGAAGGTGTTATTGATCCTGTGTGATTATTTGGTTTTTGCTTGTTGATCCTCAAATCTTACTATTATCATGTTTCCATTCACTACTATCATATTCATCCTGTACCTTTACTGTATGAGTGTGTTTGAAGGTGCCGGGTACTGGAGCCTGTGCTGCCGCCCAAGCATGCCAGAGCACTCAAGGCAACACATTCTGTTGCTCACAGGTAAGACATAACCGTTTTGATCCTTCCAATTTTGAAAGAAAATTGTTCCAAAACTTAAACTATTATGTCATACTATATAATATATGACTGTCCTTACAAATAAAAAAAAATTATATTTCACAGAATTATATGTTTATAAATAATTGTTGTCATTAAACATCAATGGTATGGTGAAAGTGTCAAAATAAAGCTGTGGCACTAATCAACTAAACAGTACAAGTGGGTTTTTGCAGCAAGAAAATAATCTAAAAATGAGTAAAACATATTCTTCAGTTATTGCATCGCTGGTTTTGCTATGAACTGTGTATAAAGACATAAAACAAGGGTCTATATTGTTCAAAACCCATTTCTTGATATATCTGTAAAGTTAATATAACACACTTTTTAAAGAAGTTAGTTCTGCTTACTAGGGTGGGGTAGAACGGATCAAAGTAGTTTTATCCACATAATACTTTGGCTTTTGAAGGGGAGGGCAGCTTAATGTCTTTGCTGTCTGGTCCAAACCATGATGGTGACTGAAATGGTATGAGTGGCCGATGACAACAAGACCAATTTTGTCCACCTCCTCTGTCAGCCAGAGTACTACCTGAGTCAAACTGCGCTATTCCATTCTACCACACACTGTATATGCTGATTTTGTCAATATTTCATCACAAATAATAGTAAAAACATTCTGTACCTATTTCCAGTTTATAAGCTGTACAATATAAATAAAGAGGCTTTCCAAATTATGGCATGTCAGCTTAACAACAGGTAATACCAAAATCCCTCAACCCATAATATGATTTTTCCACAAACAGATTTGCTCGTGCCCTATTTGCAGCAAAAGAAAATTTAGCTGCGGAGGAAAGGTAAAATATTAATCTTCACAACACCCCCACATAAGAACCAATGAAAAGATTAGTTTTTCATCTCCACTCATAGTAATAGCTTAGTCACACTAGAGTATTTAAAGCTAATATTTAGTTTTGCTATGTAACAAATTAAAAGAAATCAATATCAATTTTCATAGAAATGATGCAAGGAATTACCTAAGTTCCATAAGTTTATAAAGTACAATGTGTTTTATTAAAATAATTATTGATTCGTAGATTTTAAAATGACTCAACTAGTGATTTTTAGGAACATTTTTAGGATTACCTTGTAGGTGGATTTCATAAAAAGTTTCTGTTAATATATTAATAAAGCATTATAAATTTCAAGAGACTTAGTCTAGATTCAGTCTATGGTTAGGAGTCTCTTTTAAATTAAAATGAAGAAATTAAATAAATGCTACAAAACAGTTTTTTTGATCACTGGGAGCAAAAGTGGCTCTTTTTGGTACCCAATCGTGCACCTCGCTTTTAAATACGATTACTTACCAAAAAACACTTTTGCTTTGTGTGATGAACAACTATTTTCATCATACTTTACATGGAAATAACCTGCTAATCGTTACAAAATTAGACCAAATAGAAATAATTTTAAAGTTATACAAAGTCGGCATCAATATGTTTGCATATTATTTCTGTTGTTTAACTTAAAATGTTGTGAGATTAGCAGCATTTTTATAATTTGTGTTACATTTATAATGTGCCATAACTTTGAGATAACCATATACCAAAATTACCATATCCCTTTTTATATTCCATATTCCTTATTTCTTTTCCCTATTAGAAGTTACCCAAAAACGATGATTTTGCGGACGATTTAGAGAGCTAAAAACGGCTGTTTTCCGGACAATGTTTTTGTATCTAAAAAATGACTCAATAACTAAAATTAGAATTCAATACAGAACATTCCCTTAGGTAGTGCCCCACTTAAATTTTTTGTTGAATAGTAACATCATCATCTACATTAAACTTAAATGTACATTACTATATACTGTTCACACATCTTAGTTTCAACCCTAATAGCAATAGAGTAAAGACGTAGAAATTATTTAAATCAAAGTAGATAAGGTACATATTTTTATATTATTTTCTTAAAAAGAATATTGATAAAACTACCAAAACCTTCTATAGTGTAATAAACCTTCCTAAAAGTAATAAGCAATAGCGGTTACCAACCAGATAGGTAATGGTAAACTGAAATTTTGACCTATTCGTAGATTAGTTTTAAAGCGTTACGTTTAGTAATCAATTCAGCTCTAGTAAACTTATATATTTAATTAAATTTCCCCTACTTCTGTTAGTAAACCCACATTTTAATACCAAGTGTCTTACCCTATGTTGCTTGCAGATAGGTGTTTGCATTTCATGTGAATGTTTCTGTAACAAAACCTATCCATCTATATTTACGTTTTCTTCCTGCATGTTCCAAAAATGCAGATATTGGTGTCCATAGATGTCACAAAGAAAATGTTAAGTTGTTGCACAATATTTCAATATGCATCGAGCCTAAATCTCTATTCTTATCACGAAAAATGTAGGTAGTAGTTATCTAAGCATAGATTGTTGGCTGTAATATGTGTATAACTATTTTTATGATTTTAATATTGTATGACCACTGAGAGTGAAAAAATAAAGAATATTTTTATGAATTTAATACTTACGGTAATACTTTAATACTTAATCATAAACATAAAATGTACGATGTTGGTAATATGCCATAATGTGATATTTAGTTTTTTTACAGGTGTACTTCAATTTGGTTTACATTTTAAAAACTCTGATGTAAACACTTTTTTCAGTTGCCTCATATATTTAATTGTTTTGTTTATTTGTTTAGTTTAATTATTGAAAACGAGAGTGATTTTAAGAGTTTAGTCTTCTAACTGTGTGATACATTTGCCAGATTTGCTATACTTAAAAAAATTTAATGGTTCAATAACTTATTCAATTGGTTTTCAATAAAAATCAATATATTATATGGGGGTGGTACTTAAATTTGTATAGCAACTCAATTTCATTGTTATCTTTGATTATAGTTATCTTATTTTAAAAATAAAGTAAAACTTCAACAAGCTTTTTATATTACTCAAGTGTGCCAAATAAAACCTAAAATATTTATTCACAATAATTTTAGCTTTAATTATATAGATTTCAAACTCTTCTAATTGTTTCCTATGGGAACAAATGTCTAACAAACAATCCTAATAAAATATCGCAATTCACGTGCAATTGTGAAATTAAAACTTGAACTCACAAAATTTTAGATTATTTGGTTCACTTTTCTTTGAAAGTTGTGTGATGATTCATACAAAATGACACACTAACAAAACAAAATAGAAGGTTACCTATCTAACTTGGAGGTTAACTGTCATCACAAACTACTATCATTCAAGTACTATTCAAACAACTATATAAACTATCTTCAATTCTGGAGGTTGCTGGTTTCAATCTCATAATGAGGTTAATCCTGTATCCAGATGTAATTTTTCATTAGGCTATCAATTAATGATGATGTCTAATGTGAGGTCTAGTTAGTAGGAGTAACAGTAACATCACCAGGGTTTGGACTGTTACCTAACTGAAACATTAAAAAATTCTAATGGCGTTGAAACAAAAAGTTAATACTTTAAAGATGGGTTTTAAAGTATTCATTGTCTGCGGCTGACGATACGGCCATTCCCAGAGTGTACTGTTCCAGGGCTGCTGCTTGCTTGATCACTGCTTCAAATATTCGCCTCCCACTTCTCATTCAAGAGACTGCAACTGCCGTTTCGCCCTCCTACATCGAGTCGGAGATCCCTAGCTCCCAGTAAGCATATAATGTATCACCTCGAGGTAGTTGTCCTTTAACCTAACCCTAACCCTGACCTAACCCTTGGGAGGATTGTTGGTTCAGTATTACCAAGTGTCGCTAAGGTTCAATTCTGGGTTCTTGATATCTGCTTGCACAAATCTGTTTTAGGGTTTGATTTAAAAAAAAAAATAAAGAAAAGTAAGACTAAGAAATCTTTAGTTTTGGATTTCTACATTATAAAAAAATTCAAGAGGTCAAAATCACTGATTATTCAAATTAATTTGCAAACAAGCCCAATCCAACAATAGGAAGAAGGTTTAGAATGGGATATGTACTCCAAAAATCAGTTTTTTTTACTTGTTTGCAAATTTTTATTGTATCAAAGTCGTTTAGTCAAAACAACGAACAATTTAATATAAGCATTGCATTATTATTCTAAATTGTATTGGTTAATTTATCAAGATATTGTTAAAATGCAGTACCTTGACTCCCATGTAATCATAAAAAGACATAAATTTATGAACAAATTAAAAAATACATTGTCAAGTCTTATGTCATTGTTTGTCTTATTAAATTCAGTCAAAACTCGTGTTTATGTTAATGTAGCTTCAAGTATATAATAATTATTAGTGCCAATGTTATTTACACTGGTTAGGGATAAAGTTAAAAATTGCTTATATCTTTTAAGTTTAACCTCTTTGAACAAAACTAAATAAAGGTATTAGGTATCCACTTATTTGGCTTCTAGCTTCGGATTAGAATCGTCAGTCATACATTTGTATTCAGTACCTATTGCTCTTGTACCACTTGGTATAACTCTTGGTTGAAGAGTGTTAGTTTTAGAAAGCTCAACCGAAGCTTAGCTTAACCTTTGGTTAAGGAATGATTGTAGTTTGACAACTCCCCCGTTGAAGAGTTTCATAGTTTGAGAAGTGTACTCCTGGTTCTTGTATAACCTCGTTAAAGTGTGTATCATAGTCTGCCTTATTTTTAAATAATTTTAATGAAACTGTGTTATAATTTGAAAGTCTCCCCCTAATCCTTGGTTGAAAGGTGTTGTAGTTTCACAAGTCCTAAGGTTGACCTGAATCCGCAAACTCCTACCCTATCCCATACACTACCGAGGTGAACTAATGCTTCATTGCTTGTAGTTTCAGGCTTCGCTCACCTCCAGATGTGCTATCATCGCTGACACGTTGACTTGTTGTTGCATTGTTGTTGATCACATGTTGTTGTTACATTGGTGTTGCTGTGGTGTAATTACAAACAATATTAATTTCATGTGGTAGTGCTGGTTTGTTTGTCCATTGTTGAACTGTATATATAATGGTACCTGCACATTGACATGAATTGGGTGAGATTATTGATACATTTTACACCACACATCGCTGCCCAGTATTATAGATTTGAACACTCACACTCATTAAAAAAAGTTCAATCAAGGATTTTTCATTTTGAAACCCAGTAGTTAATGAACTGTGACACGTTTAATGAATTTTTAGCCATTCCCAGTTCAAGAGGAGGAGTCCAATCCTCAGGAAAAACAAGATATTTTTGACACTCAGGTAAATAATGTTTGAACCTCTCTCGTTTACATTTACCACAACATTTTCATAGTAAGTAGGACACAAAGACATTATTATTTATATGCAGAAACATCAAACAACACATTATTAATGCTTTGTAGCAGTAAGTAACATTGGTTAGATTCACTATTGGTGTATTCTTGTTCTGTGTGTTAGCTTTTTTATTACACTTCTTGTTATTGCTGGTTGCTATCAATTGTTTGCTTATAGTTTGCGTGAGGAATCCCTAACAGTGTGTTATGTTAGATTGTTAACCTTCTTTATATCATCTTGCATGAAGCCTACATTTCTTCTTAGTGTCTGCTCTTTGAATCTTTTCTTCGGTACGATCATACTCATTTACATTTCAAAACGTCTTAGGACCTTCAAACAATATAGTTTTACATTTGATTTATCTCATAAATCTAATTAAATTTACTTATTTTTTATCAATAACATTGACTAGTGTTGCAAATGTACTAGAAACATTTTCATTTTGAAAAACCCTTTAAGTATAATATTATATTGTCTTTAAAAATGAGCAATTATACATATTGACCATATTGAGTGTCTACACTAGATGTAAGATCTAATGCGTTAGCCTGTGAACAAGTTAACCAGTGTGATTCAAGATGCAAGTGGTACTAATGAGTGTCAGCCAGTACACAAGTTACTTTTTGTTGACTCTTCTCCTCCTCCGAAAGTATTGTTGCAAAAAATATATCGTCTTGATGTTTAGTTAGGCTAGTAAATGAATCTTTTGAATGTCTATGCTGTCCTTATATAGTTTTCAGGACTATAGAGTTGTAACAAATACAAATAAAATTGAATTGATCTAGCCAGATGGTATGGTAAATACACAGAACCATAGCAACCAGGCCGGCAGTTAGCACTTGACACGCTTTGGGCCCAAGAGGATGGTGCTCACTCAGGACCTCAACAGAATGTTCTTCTTGGAAAATGATTTTTGCTGAAAATCTGTTCATTTGGGGATACGATTTTCTAGCCTAGCATGATTTTACAAGTACGATTTTAGTAGTATATTCCCACGATCGCTGAAAGCATCTGCGGAAATTGCACGATCGATAATCAAGACTTGCAGCGATCATGGAAGTTGTTTACGATTCCTACAAGACCACAGAGACGTTCATGATTTTTTCACTATCGTGAGAGACGAAGATGATGTCCTCACAAATGCGGAAGATGTTCACAATTTTGCCACGATTGTAAGGGAGGGTAATGTCTTCACGATGGTTCAAAATGTTTAATATTTTGCCGTGAACGTAGAACACGTTCTGGATTCCTCCACAATTGCAGAAGAATAACCACGATTAATCTTCGTTGCGACCCCGCAGGAGACGTTTACGATTTTGTCGTGACCAAGGCCATTTTTTAATATTTTCTATTTCGGTTTTGTGATCATGATTTTGAAAGACATTACATTTCAATGAAATGGCGACCATACAAAGTAGGTATTTTAAGCCAAGTATGAATGGAGATGAGTGTAGGATGAGTGGCGCGATCTTGTAGTCTTGTTAGTGACTTATGCCGACTTATTCCTTAGACACAGCTGTTAATTTATATAATTTATAATTGTTTTTTGTTGTTAAATTGTCTATTTTTTCGTGCAAAAAATGCCTGTATAGCTGTTACGTCTTGTAAATCATGTATATTTATTCATCAAAACTGTGTTGTTATCGTATTTCATATTACTTATTATCATTTCATATTTGTTATAATATTTAATTATTGATCGCACTATAACTATTTCACTTTAAGTCACATAAATTTTTATCAATCTGAACTCAACTCTCTTGTAAAATGGCGTTTGCCGTGCATGTAATAAATAAATAAAAAATTAATAGCCCATACAGCTAATGGCAACTAAGGGACCTACAGTTTAGGGTGGAATCCGAACCACATTTTTGCCTTGGTATATACGAATAATTGGTCTACTGCGGATAGTCGTAGTACTCACTCGTGCGGACGTTAATCCACATCAGGGAGTATTGCATCCACAGTGCATGACAATATAAGAGTTGTCCTTGTGATCACGGAAAATGTTCACTACTTCGCTGCAAACATAATTTCACAATTGTTCCAGGATTTTGTCACGACCGCGATCAAAGAAGATGATTCTGGAAGATTTGGATCGTAAAAATTATTGAAAAATAAAATATAATTATTTATTATTAGGTGCCCTAGCCTCCTAGGTCCATTCCCTGATCAGATCGTCGAAAAAAGCGGTTTAACGAAGGATGGAGTTCATCCAGTTGAAGCGTTACAACGTGTATTTCTGTTTCTAAACCTATTACAATCCAGCCATCGAAAAATTAGCATAGAAGGGCCTCTATGGCTTGAGCATCTAGGAACTAAATATGGCCCAGCCCCTTTCCCCTTTCATATGAATAATCAAACAAAAATAGACTTTTTACGATTGTACACACAAATCTGCAACATAACAACGATGCAGATTGTTTTTATCGTCGTCTATTTTTGATCATTTATAAGAGTTCATAGGAAAGTAAAAACGACAAAAGTCAATTAAATAGGTACACAATAAGTTTTAACTTTTACTGACATAGGATCACATTTTTATTTCTAAGGGCAGATTTTTTTAAAGTAAAATGGGTTATTTAGTTATAAAAAGTTTGAATTTAAACAAATCTTGTTTTATCTAAGATGTAACTACACAACTCTTGATTTTATTCCTAAATATTTATTGTAAACTCGTTAATATTATCATAAAAGTTAATTTTTTTTTAGCAATAACTTTCGGTACATATGATCATTAAATGATTTTAATTCATTTAAAAAACTACTTTAGGGACTTGTTGTGGACTAATACGTACTTTTTCACTGTCCCTCTTTTCTATTTTTCGCCCTCTTTCTAAATTCACTAGCTGCCACTTGGATTTTTGCTCATTTCACAGAAACAGGGTGTGATTTTTTTACGTAAAAAAGGATCACTTCAGACTCAAATACAGTCATAAGCAAAGCATAAACACTAGCCAACTGATGAAAAAATTAAAGGATCCTCAATTTACAGAGACACCTCCATCACTTCGGGATGGATGACCCGGTTCCAGGCTGGAGATCCCGATTGTCTCGGTCTCGTATCAACTCTGCCGTTTACATTGCGCACTCGTCAGCAGAGAGGGATCCTCTAGTGCCGCCTGAGCACGCAGTCACCATGCGTCGCACAGTCAGTGCGGGTAACTTACGGGAGCGCGACCATGACAGCCGAGATTGTGACTTCACGCGGCAAGACTCTGAGCCTGCGGGACATCGTTTTGAACTACCCGTCCTCTCCATCTCTGAAGCCTCGGAGAAACCTTTTGTTGAACAACACTTGTAGAAACTTACAACATTGAGTGGTAGAAAAACTCAACTAATTAATTTTTTAATAGTTCCAGTTTCAACTTCTTAGCTCATGTGATTTCCTGTTGATTCATGTAAGACATCAAGACATTTAGATTATCAAGACCAAACTATGGTATTTTAAAACCAAAATTTACTTGAATGTATGTATTCCTTGTAAATAGAGTAGGATGTTACAAATCTCTCCCCATAGATATTTTAGTTTTTGTCAGTTAAAAATTATTTTAACTTTGTAAATAATAAATAAAAAAAGTTTTGCATCAACAAATCGTCATTCAAATATGATTTTGACGTTAAATTAAAAGATAACGTTGTTTGTGATTTTCAGTCTCTTTTTATACTAGTATCTTGCATACAACTAAACTACAACTATGATAAATACAGTATTAAGGAAAACTAAAGCCAATTAAAAACCGTATCAATAGTTGTATAAAGCACTAGAGCCACATATTATTTTCCCACTTTAAAACTTAAACCCTGTAAACCATTTTTTAAGTGATAATTTAATGACTATGCATATCATGCTAAGAAGGTGAAACGGAATAATATCTATGGTTTCCAATGTAGTACCTGTTGTTTTTTTTGTATAAATGTACAGTAAAAATCAAACTACACCTATCAAGGAGAATGTTATTTAAGGAATAGGATTTGTGAATCCTGGAAAACTGTAATATATATTTTTAGGATTTAAGTTATGTTTCTATTGCATTTTTTTATTTATATTGAGTTATTTTTACATTTTTTGTTACCAAACAACATTTTACAAACTTTTTAGTCTACAAAAAACTAAGAAATACATAGTTAAACTGTTACTGGTACCATTTAAGTTCAATTATGTTTTGATATATATCCAACACGATTTGCATGGATTGTAGATGATGGTTATATTTACAGGCACAGATATTTAAAAAAAAAACTTCAGTTCAGTTAAAGCCAACCACACATTCTGAAGAACACATTATTTTTTGTCAAGTTTAATGAAATTACGGTTTGAAGATCAAGAGATAACAATTCAAGAAACAGGTTGAATAGCTTGAAATACAATCGATGCTCTTCAAGATCTTATACCTGTAAAGTACAATGTCTAAAATGAGATCCTACATTTCACAATTTAGCCAAAAGTATATTACAATTAAAGTGGTTTAAATACCTGTAATGTCGACAATCCCAAGTGGTTGTGAAACAACTAGTTTCGGCTCATAACGGAGCCATCTTCAGGTTTTCCAAGGACATTATCACTTCTTCCAAAGGTCGTCAAAGTTCACAAATAATTTACATACATGAAAAACATTTAAAAACACGTAACACACATGCCTAGGCCTAGCTTTAACGACGTGACCGGCGGGAGTTTACGTCTAGACTACCGGGCACTATATTGACATTAAATACACTAGGTGCCCGGTAGTCTAGTACCCGGTAGTGAATGTGCTTCTGGTTTATTTTGAAAACCTCTTAACCACTTTTTCACCCAACTCGTTGTGGACTACATATTCGATGCTAAGATCTAACTGTAAATTAACTGTTTCACTATATTACTCAGTTGTCCAAAAAAATATGCAATATTTCCCTAATTGTACCTGATACAGTATTTATGGTAAGAATGCTGCTGGAAGAACCTATTCCCTGAAAAAAGTAACGTATTATTTAACGAAGTTTTACAAACACGTAATTACATGCAATCAGCTGATTATATATAATAAGTCGTTGCATCAATTTCAGTGCCAATGACAATAAACGAAAACATAACCTCTCTAAGAAGTGATAAGTAGTGATTGTTAGTAATTAAAAACCAAATTTGTAGTAGTTAAAAAACGGTTGTAGGTAAAGTAGTGTACGCAACTCGCGTTAATAGTCATTACGACCCTCGTAGAAGTTTTTAAGGCACTCGCCAAGGCTTGTGCCTTAAATTTACTACTCGTGTCGTAAAGACTAACTTGACGCAATCGTTGTGTAAACTACTATAAATAGGTACCACATTTTTAAATCAACCTTAAATGTAGATTTTGAAACTGTTGCAGTACCTGAAACTGAAGTTTTACAAATAATTCATTTTATGACTTGGCAAAGTTAGAGAAAGATAAGAGCCCCAATATAAATGTAATTTGGACATAAAATATAGTTTACCTCATAAATATATACCTACAATTCTTTAAAAAGATAAACCAAACATAAATTTGTATATTAATAACTTTCAAACCACAATTAAATTTTATTTGTTTCATTGCAACAATATAAATGGAGACAAGTATTTACTTTGAGATGTATATCACCCTCCAAACATTTTAGAAAGTTTTATATTTTAAACACAGTTATGTATTCAAAAAGCCAATGTGGGTTGGTTCGTCCTGTAGAATAAAATCAAACAATTATTTTCTTATCCCAAAAATTTTCATCCAGTCTGCTACACATGGTTATGAGCAAGTCTACTAATATGTAATATCCTCAAATTTGAATAATTGTAAATTAGTAGTTTGCGCAACGATCGAATAAGGATAGTGGTGTCACGAGTAGAAAATTTAACTTTTATGAGTGTCGTTAACACTAGAGTTGTGTAGCCTACACTGCTTAACCTACGACCGGTTTTTAATTACTAATAATTACTACTCAAAACTAAGAAGGATGATGTTTTCTTCCATAACAATAACATGAGAATTTTAAATTAACAATTTTTTTACTATCTCCGTAACCGTTAGGCATGCAACAACGCTTCAACATACCAAAATTATTTCTTTTTTTAAGCTCTACAAAATGGTTTGAAGAGAAATTATAAATTTTGTGTTTTAAGGGTCAAAAATGGGAAAACTCAATTTTTACTCCATAAAACCCCCTATAAACCCCCGTTCCCATAATCTAATTATGCTGGTTCGTGAACTTCTTCAAATAAACGTAGGTTTACACATTTGTACCAAATTTCATCAAAATCGGTAAATCGGATTATTTTTGCTCAAGTTATCGTGCTAACGGACACATATACATATATATTATACAGACCTACATATATATGAATTTGAAAGGATGGTGTTTTTGGCCTCTGGGGACCTCAAAACGAAAAAGTAAATCGGTCACGGGTCTAGGTCTTACCATGAGACCTACGGTAATAGCTTATTCCTATTATGGGAAATTCGCTAAAACTCAGTAAAATATGGGTCGTAGGTAAAATAATTAGCACTTCATAAAGCTTAATTCATTGCAAGGCATTGAACAAAAATACTTTTTAGAATACAATTTTTACTTTCTCTCCCTATACATTGGTATATGAAGGAAGTATAATTGTAACCATTTTTGAGATGGATTAACAATGGTTTCATATTATTTGGTATGAAGGTGCCGGTACTAATCATCTCTAGTTGATTTAAAATTTGTTTAATTATTAAAATGGTGATGTTATTTACCGATGTTGAAATACCAATTAGTTGATACAAAAAAAATTGTGAATAAATCAATATGTTTAATCATTTTGCAAAAATAAACAGAAAACGCAAATTTTGCCCAATAGGGTAAATATTATTTTTGAGTTTACAGCTTCGAGACAGAAATTATGGCCCAATTCATAAGCAGATTGTTGCCATTTATTTAATAACCTAGTATTTAGACAGAGACTGTGTATTCACTCTTCTCTTAAGTGTTTGATTGAAGTTACTATTGAATATTTACATCAAACACCAATATATTATTCCTAAAGATCATGTGTAATGCATATTGACAACGACTTTGTAACTTCTCTTGATAAACTAATATTGTTATTAATGTAGTTGTTATTCTTTTTTGATAATCTGTATAATATAAATTATTCCTAAACAAATTACTTACAATTTGCACGAAGGTTTTATTAAGTTAACTATTTATTTTACTAATAAGTATTTGTTAACTAATATTTTTGTAATTAAAATCTTTGTAATATAAAACTGGTTAGATGGGTTTGAAAGTTCCATTGATAGATAAAATTTGTGTTAGTATTTTGTATATCGTTATTAATCCATTTCCTCATTCAAAGTTTCTCTTGACCAATCCAGCAAAATCTTAACCTTTTTTAAACCCATTATTTCATTTATACAGGTAACTTTACTTTTACTGTCAACTTTGGCATCTAAAGAGTACTAAAGAACATTGTGTGTTCAAATAATGTGAAAGCCTTTACAATGGCTTACTTCTCAAACATTTGTCACAAACCTAAACTTCACAAAACATTTTAAATTCTTATAAAACTACTAGAATAGTAACTTCAACATGTAATTTCTACCAAACACTATGAATTACTGTTCGTGTGTAGAGTGATTGTTGTAGTATTCTACATGTGGATATCATATAATCGCAATAGATGTACGAAACCGATTTATACAGAGTAGCTGAAATTCTGAAATCAGCCTTTTTACTATTTAATATAAATATATTTACATGTTAGATTGTGACAATGCAGTCTATTCTACATGAACAAATCCTTAAGTATAAAAGAGTGTATTGTTGGACTGAACATAATTGATTTCAGCTTTAGTGCTTTAAAGTGTGAATTCACTAAGTATGCAAGATGTCCTTGGCCTTAAAAACAAATGTAACACCAAACATGAGTTGTCAACGACTATGTTATTCTTTTAGTTGTAACTAAAATGATTTCTATTGATGTTTTCTATAGTGATCGGCAGAGCACAGTTTGTAAAAAAACAAGGTGCCGGAACTGTAATGTATTTATAATGTGATCAGTACATATATATACTTATCAATTTATTAATTATGTACTTATTTATGCCAATATTTTTATCTTTCCGAAAGAGAGGTACCGGATTTCCGTTCCACTGCAAATCGAGCACTGGCTGGTTATCAGAAAATTTCTAAAAAACAGTAAAAATCTAAATCATTTAAATTTACCAACATTATCAGGTAGAATAGACTGAAAGTATTCTAAATGTTAAGACAACCTCTACAATGCAATAACTATCGCCTTAAACTATGAATAAACTAATACATTTGTGTTTGAATCATCATCATATCTGAGGTCAATTTCTGAGATACACGATGATCATCGCTCTATTTTATTGTGTATGTGGTTTAAATTGTTCAACCAAAGCAAAGTTGAAGCATTTACTGTTTCTAATGTTGAATGTACTTTGTCTTTCAATAACTTATTTCCACTGGTAATTTTAGATTAATTTGTTACACAATACAGTACTTAAATGGATCATCACATTTTTTAGTGCCTAACTCTTACAATAAGAAAATTGATCATTTAGATGATTAAAATATAACACACTGTACTAATGTATTTTTATGAACCTATTATTATAGTCTATGGACACCGGTACTGAAGAATACATGACATCTACTGTACTGTACATGGACCAGCCATAGCCATTTTTTTGCTAAGAGACCATAGTTGGACGAGCCTTTCATTAAATTCACTCCTATTGAAGTTCTCTTTTATCTTTTGGATTGAGACTGCTAAATAATAATATTTATCATAGATGGAACATAACATTTATTTTCCTTCAAAAACGAATGCTGCTATAGTTAACATAACTACTAAATGTTCGGCTTTAAGTTCCGCATGGTTTAAATCTTGGAGTAAAGAAAGAAAATTGTGTTTTACGGTGAACACTCTTTGGTGGCTCAATGAATTAAGCTCTTTTTACAAAAAAAATTGCTACTACTTAAAACAAGGGAATAGAATATCTATACTTAACCGCAGTGTATGTTTAGTAAAAAAAATTATCAATTCAGCAATAATATATCTCATTGTTGGGTTGTAATTCTGTTCCTAACAACTTTATAAGTGTATTACTGTTTCATAAACTACTTCTTTTGTGTATTAAATTTGGCAAAAACTAAATCAAAAGTTTCCAAAAATTCTGTAACCATACAGTGGCGGTTCCAGGGGTTTAAAGCCCCCTCCATTGGATTCTGGAAAATAGATATCAAATACAAAATTGTCCTAAAAATGAACTGAGATTATTGAACATAGTTTAGACGTTAAAATGGCTTAAGAAAGCCATCGAACCGCTTAAAAATACCAAACTTTGCTGGGGAGAACCCCTGGACCATTCTCTTTCTTAGTAGGTGTGGAACACCCCCCACTTGACAAGGTCCTGGAACCGCCACTGACTATACGTACAGTGTGCATCTTACATGGAATGTCAATTTGCCACAATACTTTCGCCGAATTAATTTACTGATTGTAAATATAATTATGTTAACCATCATATCATTTACCTTATCACTATAGAAGCTAGTTTTTTACTCTTCACGACCATATTGAAAAATATTGTTGTAAATACTATATCAGATATTTTCCCTGATGTATAATGTTGAGTGTAAAAATGAAATTTTGAAATATAATATGAGTTTAATTGTGGTATTTTTCTTCCTGTTTTAAAAATTAGGCACTAATATAAAAACAGCACAATTTGTGTGTATATTACCTCTTTCTCACCAGTGTAGTCTGGACCTGAGACAAAGAGATTTGAAGGTAGGTATGTTTAATTGCTTGTGCAGTGCACTTAAACAATCAGAAAATACAGCGCCTAAAACAACAGACAAAAATCAGCGTTCGAACATCAATTCACGGTGATTGATCTTCCTCTAGGTCGGTAAACTTGGAAGGTTGAATAACCTAACATAAAATAATGAAGACGACTTCGTCTATAGGTACTAGGTATATGGTAAACACATTTAAGGGAAAAGAAATTATTTCAAAGCTGATTGGTTTAAAATTTTATTTTCAATTGATACAAACAAATGTCATGAGTTATTTACATTACATATATTGCAAGTGTTACAAAAATATTTTTTATATTTCAATGTTGGTTGTCTATTCCACATTCCTCCTCATTCTCTATTAACCTATATCACATTAAAACAAACAATAACATAATCACAACTCATGAAAACAGTAACACAATATCTGAACCATGGATACCTAGTGTATGTATATCAGATGGAAGTGCCTATCAAAAGATAGGGGAAAGATCAATACATAGATTAACAAACATTGGTAAGGGACATAGCAATGCACATGTCCCTAACCATAATGCTGCACTAAACACAATGGGGCAACACACAGCTGTTGAAATTTAGTCTACAGTACTTAGATTTTGATATTTGGGGCAACAAACTACATTATTATTTTAAGTAGGCTCCTTTTTCTTTTTTTAGATACAGAAGTAAACTAGACATCCCATATGGACCCGCTGTAGCCCATAGTGGAAGGAAAAAACATAGGTGTGATATTCCCGTCATATGCTGACATCACCCAGATTGCAAACACCATCTCGCTATTTAGAAACAATTTATAAAAACAATAACAATCAAATCAAAACATATACCATATACTTATATGTTAGTTAGAATCAGGCCATTTTCTGTTTGCAATCTGTGTGACGTCAACCTATGAAAGCATTACACCTATGTTTTTTCTTCCAACATGGCTCTATCCATCTAGGCCTACATCCATTTTTATTTAAAAACTAGATACGACTTTAACAAGGAGATGGAATGTTTGGTTCTTGTTCTTAGTCAAAGTTATCAAGAAAAGCAAAGGCTGAGCCTGTACAGTGCAAGAGAGACACGAGACACAATCACCCATAACATCACTACCATAACTTTGTCATGCTACCGACTAAGCTAAAGACTCGATCAATTTTTATAATGTTCAAATAAGTCAATCTAAGTTATATGTACATCAGTTTTCCCCAGGTTATTATTAATTATCAACAAAAGCAGAAAAAAATTACTCTAAAGTAGAAGAACTGTTCTTGACACAATGCACACAAAACAAACCGGACATAAAAAACATAAAATAACCCTGTCCAGCAAACCTACAGACCAAGCAAATTTCCATTTAACTCATTGGATTTTCACTTAAATATTTCCTTAAACATGTCAAATTTATTCAATATTATTAGTTTTAACAAATACTTAGGTTTGCTGCTACATGGGTGGTTATAAAGTGTATTTTTTTATTATTTTATTTTTATGTTGTTAGCTCAATATAAAATATACAAATTTGCCAAGTTCGGTCAAAATATATCCATAAACAAGCCAACAGTTTACTTATTCCCCATAAGAACAGGCTAACATGAGAATTTAAATTTATAATTTCTTGAGTTTTCTCCATACAACTAATAATTGTAGCCTACCAAAACACAAAATTAATTAGGCCTATTTATTTAAGCTAAATAAAATTGTTTAGCAAGAAATTGGTAAATTTTATGTTTTTAGGGTGGAACTGGGATAAAACAAATTTCTACCACATAAAACCCAGTTTCCATAGTCCAATCATACTGGTTCGCGAACTTGTTTGAATAAATGTAGGTTTACACGTTTGTACCGAATATCATCGAAATGAGATCCTTTTTACTTGATTTATCAATGGACACATTTTTTTATATATGCCTACATATTACATGAGTTTAAATGGGTAGTGTTTTTGGCATCTGTGGACATTAAAACAATACTGTATTCAGGCAGGCTAGCGGTTAGCATGTGACGTGCTATGGGCCCGAGAGGTAGTTTCGCCCCCTCATTTTTCTTTGATAGGATTCATAAAATAAAAATTTAATTGACTAAAAGGAACAATTAGTAAGTAGTGAAAGAATTACATTACAAATTACAAATAAAGATAAGTCAATGAACAAGTAGTAACATACAAGCAGTGGGAGTGATGAGTGATGAGCGAGAACCGCGGGGAGCATTCTATTCTCGCACGACTTAAATATTTTCAAAGTATGTTCTGTTGCTTGCGCTCCTGAGCCTGGGCCCGTTTATAAAAGCGGGCTTGGATCCACGTCTTGCCATGAGACCTACGTAATAGCTTGTTCCGTGGGAAATTGGGGGAAAACAGGCTTCAGGGTTTGCAACAGGATGTGAAATCTACTTTGAGCTTCTGATCAGGGGCTGTATTAGTCTCATTCAGTAAATTATTATGCTTGTAGTGTGATATTAGTACAGTATTCTAGGTAACCATGGTTTGGTTGTTTAAAGACTTTAAAAAAATATTGTACAAACTGGTTAACAGCCACTTTTTGGAAATTATTTTAGTGTTAACAGTCAACAACATTTCAAAATATATTTTAAACAACAAAAGGGTTAGTTGCAGGGTGCAGCAGATCTTAATACTTAAAACTTAATACCAACAGATATACATGTACTCTGAAGTAGGGTGACAATGGACTGGTGTGTAAAGGTTTAATATTTAAGTTACACTGTTGTTTCAATATTTTAGGACATCAAAAAAATTATTTAAATACATTTAGTTGTGGACTGACGATTTTAAAGATTTCATCATAACAAGATTGTAAGGAAATGAGTGTAATATATCTTAATAGTCTTCATTAAACATTGAAAAACGCACATGATTTTCTCTAAAACACAAAAAATTCCAGTATTCACTTTTTAAATACCGGTAGTGCATTATAAAAAAACTTTAAAATCTTTCAACTTAGGCCTATTAAAACAAATAAAATTTAACAATCCTATTAAAAACATAAGCAGTTAAGACTATAGGACCTAATGGCTTATAAAACCAATAAAATGGCCATTAATCTTTAAAAATGTAGGTACTATTACGAACTGAAAAAGTTACCAACCTTAACAACAACAAATTAGGCTTCTAACTGAAAAAAAATACTATCTCAAGTCTCAAACGTCAAATGGCATATAGTTAAATTGGGAGACCTATAGCTGGAATCCACATGAGCAATGTAAATCTAAATTATATTTTTGCTTTGACTTTAATTTTTACATTCCAGAGCACAAAACCATTTTATGAAGTTAAAACCGTATCGTATCAGTAAAGCACAAAAATGAATTTATTACTATAAAAACGTACTTTGTTATTTACCAGTAGCACTTTTTGTTGCTTGGGCAGCTTTTTTCGCTTTTACTATTTCAGCCAGTTCTTTGCAACGGAGCATACACTCTTTCTTACTCCTAGACTTGACACACTCAGAAATTCTGTCCCATCGTTCTGGTGTCCCGTTGGGATAGCTCTTCAAGGCTTGCTCTAAAAGTTTCTGCTCCTCCGAGGTCCACGGTGTTGTACTTGTAGCTGCTGCTACAGCGTCAACACGTTCAGATGCTTCTGATGCAACAGCCAACGAAGCCTTCTTCTCCTTTTCAAAACTTTCATAAGCATTTTTATTGATGGTTTCTTTCAACTGATCTCCAGAGGTATTTTGCAACTCCTTGACCTTTGATAAAACCTCCTTTTTGTTTCTGACTACTTTTACTCCAGGCAGTCCATTATAATGCTGATTTATGAAGTTTGTAACGGCTTCCCATCGCTGTACTGTGCCAGCTGGAAAGAGGTTAACAGCTCTAATGAGAATTTGAACATCTTCCTTAGACCAACAAGCTGTGCCCTTGGAGTCATTTGATTGAGATGTATTATGTTTATTGATAAAACTTTCATCTTGTTTTCTCTCTTGTTCAGACTGTTTTTCAACTGAAGCCATCATCTCCATAAATCCATCCTTACCCTTGGTTTCTAAAGTTTTGGTTAGCTCTATCAATTCTGTCTTACTGTAAACAGTAAGTGCTTTTTCTATTGCTGTCATATTTTGTACTAATTCATTATCATTCGATATAAAATAATTATTGGCCTTGCATATATCTCTAATCTTTTTCCTCTCTTTTTTCACAATACGTTTTTCAGCTTCCCGTTCTGCTTTTAATGCTTCAGCTTTTGCTTTTTCCTTGGCTTCTTCTTCCTCTTTTTCCCGTCTCGCTTTCTCCTCAGCTTCTCTTTCAATTCGCTTCAACTCTTCAGCTCTTTCTCTAGCAGCATCTTGTTTTGCTTTCTTCATAGCCAATTTTCGTTCTTTTTCTTCATTCCTAAACTGCACAATTCGTGGATCTAGATTGTAGGCCAAGTCGATTAATCTTCTTATTCTAGCCATTTCATCCTTTTTCTTTTTTGCTCTGTCAACTTTATTTTGTTTTTCTATCCATTTTCTTTCATCACGATCTTGACCGGATTCTTTGGCCTCTGAATCCCAATAAGAAAACTCTCTCCATGATTCAAAATTAAACCAGAAGTTGTAAAATCTCTCAACTTCATCTTTAGTGGCATCAGGACCTCCCAGTCTAGGTACATTCTTTTTATCACTCCATCTAGCATTTCGCTCAAAGATTGGACCAAATTCCTCAAAGAAATGTTTTCTTACATGTTCATTATCATAAGGTATTGTATTGTCAAATTCAGGATCAACCGAATCAAAAGCTCTTCTCTTGTCTTTTGACCCAAGAATTTCCCAAGCCTTTGTGATACAAGTAAAGTAATCATTATTAATATCTATCTTTCCTGCATTTGCTCTTTTATCAGGGTGGTGCAGCAACACTTTTTGTTTGTAAGCCTTTCTAATGAGAGCGTCAGGTGCACGGTGTCTTATCTTTGCTAAGCCCAACACTGCGTAGTGGTCTTGATTTTTCCACAATTTTGGATCAAGGCTCTTCAAGTATGTATCATCATTTTCAATTTCATACTCCTCTTCATCTGCCTCTTGCGATTCACAATGGTGATGTTCCGCATCTTTTTCACGGATATATCGAAGGAACCAAGGTCCCACACACTCAACACGACGCAGCTTAACAGCCAGTTGCCTCTCGTCTGACTCTCCTATATTCTTTTTTTCTTCATTTATACTAGTATCAGTTGCACTGCCCGGGTTGACTGGTTCTTTATTTTCCCCCATTGTCACCTGCAACAGAATGGGCGATGCATTTATAAAAAAAAGTTTTTTAAACATCTGTTAATCTGCAAAAGGACACCCTTGCTTTAAACATTTATTTAACTAAACCAAAAAAGTAAGAACTTTAGTTATTGAAACAGTTGGCATTTAATATTAATTGCTAAATTACTAATTAAGATTATATTCACAATTAATATATATATAACTAATATTAAAAATTAATTAACAATTCAAATTACGGTACAGTAGGCCTATATTCAAGGAGTATTTATTGAAGAGGTCATAAGTTACTGGAAGGTTCAATTTGGTTAGTTTAAAACACGGATTTTGGTATGTTTTGAATAGCCTAGATTCTTTAGCTGTGGGCTGATTTGGAAATGTTAAATGCCACAGCCTTACAATAAGGCATACAACTGGAGGTTTAGTGCACTGAAATTCTATAGTAGGCCTATATCCTAAATAAATATATTAGCCAGTCCATTTTGAAAAGGAATGGAGGCTAAAATGGTCAATGGTAAAATGGTCAACCTCTGTTAGTCCCGGCAGAAATTGTATCGTTGTAATTTTTTGACAAGGATATGTTAAGCCTATTTTTTTAGTCCAGGGGTAAAAAATATGAATTTCAATAACTATAACCATTGTATAGGCCTATTGGAAACTGAAGATGAAATCCCATCTAAATGAACCACCAGTAGCTTATTTTCCATAAAAAAGAACATTGTTAGAGCCACTCATAGACTGCGCTACTGTCATAATTATTCATACTTTCTCCCTTAATTTTTTTTTTTTTTTTTTTTTTTTGCTTGTATCTACGCCAGTGGCATTTTTGTAATGAAGCATGAAGTCAAAGACTTTTAAGGGAAAGCTGTATCAATTTTTGATACATTGCTAGATTATTATGTCGTAAAAGATGCTATAGTTTACAATAAGTTGTCCTACCAGTTTTGGGTGGGTAAAAAATTTAGCGTCTTTGATAGAAATCAAGTCATTTTACAGGGTGCGACAAAAAAACGTATCTATTTTCTGCAGCACACTGTTCAGCGACAGGTCGTCTGAAAGTGGTGGGGTTAGGCTCGTAGGAAAGCCTACACGATGCCATTTATTATCTGTGGTCATAGAGCAAGGGTCACCTGAGCAACGCACGTTTATTTTCGAGTCTAATTTAAAAAGAAATGATTCAGTCATTGCAACTTGGGGGAAGTTCCGAACATTCTTTTAATTAGGGTGACATGGAATCCGTTACGTAGCACAATCATGTGGTGGAAACCAAATTAGAACAACAGCTACTGCTTTAAAAAAAGAAGCTGACAAGCCATCCAAAGTTAGATCGGACGCCTGATAACCAACATTCGATAGAATTCGTGCTGCTGTGGAAAACAGTCCTTGTAGGCCCGCTTGAAAACTAGCATCGCTTTGAACATGTCACACTAATTTTGAGGTCCGATCATAATTCTCACCCCCACAGATGAATTTGTATTTATCTGTTTAAAATTGTTGATTATTCATACACATAATTGTGACGGAACCCCTCAATGTCGACTTAATTTAGAGAATGCATGGAAATGCTGCTGAGTTATACGCTTACTAGTTCCCTATTAACCCTTCAGGACTATAGAGGCGGATATATCTGCTAGCATTTTGTGCATAGCGGACGGTAGACGGATATATCCCGTTATCTTTTTGGGCCCTGCGGATATATCTAATTGGATATATCTGCCAATTATTACGACAGTTATTGTTATTTTTGATTGTCAGATAACATAATTAATCTTCGTAAAAACATAATTTTATTAATTATACATTATGTTTTTAACCAATATGTACTAGGAATGTTTTTTGTAGAAGAGTAAGAAATTTAATTAAAATCTTCACTAAAAATTCAATATCTTCAAATTTTTTTTTATTATACAAAAAATTTAAAAAAAAAATGTGAAAAAAGGGGTTTAGTGGGCAGGATTTCACGGAGACAGGGTACGATTGAAAATTAATATCGATTTGATTAGTAAACCAATTTTTTTCATTATCAGCAAGTTTGGTTAGGTTAGGTTAGGGTATAACAGTTTAATTTCATCCCTAAAACTAATTTTGCTCATCCCCCCTGATGGATCTTTCCACCCCCCTACCCGCTGCACCGTGGAACCGGTCACTCATACCTGGCCGGCACTCGCCCCGCCAAGCCTCAGGCTGTAAAATGACCCTTGTCAAAGTGTTTAGGCAATCGGCACTCGACCCTGCACTCGATAATATACTAAAAAACATTTTATTTAATTACAGCAGCAACAATTCTGGTCAATTAACAATAATTATAATGGAATAGGAGCGATGAGAATAAGAATTTAAACATTTTACTAAGCAATAAATTAAGGTTCGTCATTTTGAGTAGGGTCAATGTCACAGAATGGGATCAGTTATGTCTCAGGTATAAATAAAAAATAAAACTGAACAAAAAATAATTAAATGTGTGTACCGTACTTACTTATTTACCTTATTTCCCAATAATATATTCCTTTATTTTAGCAATTACATGCATAATTTAAAAGTTTTATAGGTTACAGACCGGTCACTTGTCTCCGGTCACTAACCTAAACATCAAATGAGATGTCAAATATGGAAAAACTCTTAAAAACACGACAGAGCTTTGAATATAGGTTATACATAATAATCATTATTCGAATACGTCATCTGTTCAATCTTACAATTGGTCGGAATATTGATTTTTCGACCTAATACGCCAGTCTCCAAGTGCCACCGAGATATGGACTGTGAAAATGACGTAGCCCGCCAAAGCAGCAAAAACAGTTGTAAAGCGCGGCAATCCCAGCCTTGTGAGTAGCCTACCTTTGTAAAGTTGCTGTCAGTTGAAGTTTTCGCCAGAAGTGTTGATTTAGAAATTATAATCAAAACAACAGGTAAGAAACATATCGTACCTTAATTATGTTACAGTTCGGTGACTCACACTAATCTGATATATTCCAATAAAACTGGCAAATCAAACGTTGGACTAGCTGTAGAATTGTGCACAGAGCATAACCTGAAAATGAGGCCTAGTCTTGTCAACTAGCCTAGGAGCTATATAAATAACTAGCTGTAACCCGCGGGCTTTGCCCCGTTAAACTTCTTAATTTTCAAGATGATCTCGTTCGTATGGCTCAATCACGTCCTGGTTGAAGTTCGTTCGCTACGCTCACTCACCTTTAGGTTGGAGCTCGTTCGCTACGCTCACTCACCTTTAGGTTGGAGCTCGTTCGCTGCGCTCACTTGCCTTCAGGTTAGCTCGTTCACTACGCTAACTCGCCTCCAGGTTGAAGTTCGTTCGCTACGCTCACTCACCTTTGGTTGCAAATTAGCTGTTGTCATAAATGTAAAAGAAATAATAGTGCTGCACCCTGTTGGTAATCCTTGTAACTTAAATGCTATTGAACATCATAGAACAGAACCAACTTGTAATTGAAACAAGAATTAAGATTCATTAATTCCATTTCTCATAAGGTTAACATGGGAAACTCCAGAGCCACTGGGGCGGAGCCGATTGGACGGATCGCGAAATTGATGGTGTATAAACCTATTCCATGACATTCTACACGTATGTACCAAGTTTCGTGGCAATCGGTTCAGCGGTGTCTGAGTTTATCACTGCCAAACAAATATATATACAAACATCCTCTTTTATACTTATAGTTATAGATATAGGCTAGTAAGATTACAGTCCGGCCACGAACAGTCCGTTACCGGTCACGTTACCGGAGCTGTTTTTCCGTGACCGGGCTGGGCTGTAATATAGTGCCAAAATGGGCCATGGAGATCTCACCTTAGAGTCATTCACACAAGTATGGGAAGAATGTTTCAGTCAAGTATTGTTTCTTGCAAATCAAAATAGGTACACCAGAGCTAATCTGGCTAGCCTAGTAAGAAAGATAGATTGGAGTCCTTAGAAAAGCGATTAGAGCAAAATAGAACTCACATGACAAAAGAAGCTAAAAGAGCAGCAAAAATGGAGCGGAAAATCAAAATCATAACAGGAGGCTATCAGACGAGAGCGGCAGCAGTGATCAAGCAGCTGCAGGGCTTACATGACCAGATAGAGCAAGCCCGCATGGAGCTGTCCACATTTAAGTTCCTCAAGGAGCAGGAGGAGGCGGCCATACCTCGCAGAATTGAGTCTCTCACTGATGATGTTAGTCGGCAAATGGAACGAGAAAGAACTCTTCAGAAAAAGTATGGCAAGTTGCAGGAGCTATTGGAGGAACTGAAGCTAAAAGATGAAGGAAGCAAACAAGTTTAACTACTCCTTTTCTGTGCTATTTATCTTTAGTACACACATTAACTAACAGTTTTTATGTGTGATTTGATGTTTCTGAGCTATTTGAATTTAGTTGTGATCTTCTCCTAAAGGGTGATCAACTGTAATGCTCTTTCTGTATATTATTTTAGTTAAAAATTTCTTTAGTTAGTAATATAATATTCATTACACAGTCTATAAAAAAAATACATGTTTATTGATATTATTATAATGTAGGCCACCTGCAGGGTATAGGATGGGATGAAATTTGTTTTAGCAAAAATCCTACAAACTGACCGACAACAACAACTGTAGCAAAAACATTATTCCTTCTTTAAGAATTTTTAAAAAAATTTCTAGTAACGCTATTATAACAGTACCGTACATTACAAAACAACATAGGAATTATATAATCAATTACAACATATCTTTCATTTGCATAAAAATAAAGACGGGATCTTGGTCACGAGTCTTTCACCAGGAACAGCTGTTTTCTAGGAGTTATTTGTCAGAATGTAAACAAATGGACGGTGCTGCCACCTAGCAAAGGTCCATAGTACTAAAATTTAAAGTTTTCAGATGCATAGCGCTAGTAGTCTCGTTTACAAAAAATAAAATGTCTCGCATTACAAAGATGTAACACCGTGCAGCAAAGAAGTCAAAAAGTCCGTTAAATAAATGTTACACTGTGCTTGAAAGAGTTAACAATTTTATGCTGGGACACAACTTCCTAACCTTAAATGAACTCTATACTGTAGTTTAATTTTGAGTATTGCTCAGCTCGGTAATTATTTACCCTATTCACACTGAGATTTCATGTAATTTTTCTATGTCTACTTACAGTATTTTTAACGCTGAATCCAAAAATGCAATCAGTTTTGGTCGGAGAGATTCCTAAGTGGCTGTACAGTTAAATAAAGAATATTAGGCTTCAGTTTTGTTGATTTATTAACATATTTGTGGTATGGACGAGTCCAAGTTCTAGTGGCGACTAACACTAAAAAGGGGTGGAAGGTTTGTGGAGTGGAAACAGCTGTCAGTTGTTTACTTTCGATACTAAACAGACAAAACCACACATGACGCCATGAGAGCAAAATCAGAGTTACAATATGCAATAACTAGATTTTTAAAAGAAAATGGACTTTGGTGCTGTTTAGAAATACAATAAATCAACTACGATACATAAACTATTAATCACATGAACATAAATTATAAAACAAAATAGAATTTATTCACGTAAAATATCAGTAATAGAAGCTTGGCCAATGCCGACATGATCATCGTTCTCATTCCAATCCTCAACCATTGACTAATGCCTCAACGTCTGTTAATGAACGTGCCATAGTGCATAATCCCATAGTACATAATCCCATTGTGTCTAAAAGTGAAAACGTACATCACAAAACGTATATCACAGTGCATAATACAATGTATCAGCAACTAATAAATGAAGTTATACATAATCTAATCTAATCTAACCTAACCCAACCCAACCTTAATATTAACGTTTAAATCGCATTTTATGTCAGAAAAGGCATGTGAGGAAGATAGGTCGGGTTTTATGCGGATTCATGACTGTATTAAGTGTTTTGAAGTGAGGTTAGATTAGGAAGGTAAAGGTTAGGTTATAATGAACCGACTCATTAATTTATGCAACGTCCAGACTGTTTTTGCACAATTGAAATAGTAGGTGAAACACAATGAAATAACGATATCAAAAATGTGCAAGCACAATGAAATAACGATAGGTATCAAAAATGTGCAAGCATTTTTGATATTGTTATTTCATTGTGTTTCACCCACTATTTCAATTGTGCAAAAACAGTCTGGACGTTGCATAAATTAATGAGTCGGTTCAATATAACCTAACCTTTAACTTACCTAATCTAACCTCACTTCAAAGGACTTAATATAGTCACGAATCAGCATAAAGTCCGACCTACCTTCCTCACATGCCTAAATAAGAAGTGATTATTTGGTTTCAAAACGAATTGATTTGATTTCATTCCGCATTAGATGATTAGATCAAGTATAAACAGTTGTTTGCTCTTCTCACTCAGTCCTCACTCCTCACTCTTCACTCAGTACGGACCCATCCAGACCACGCCATATTAACATTACCATTACCTTCAGTACCGCTCAATTATCCTTAGAGATTCGTAATCCTAACCTTCATTTTACGGCCACTTAGGAATCTCTCCGACAAAAACTGATTGCATTTTTGGATTCAGCGTTAAAAATACTGTAAGTAGACATATAAAAATTACATCATATCTAAGTGTAAATACGGTAAATATTTGCCCTCAGCTCTTTTCTTGTTTATTTATAGGTATTAACCTACTACTGTTTGCTTTTCATAGATATAAGTTACTTTAGAATTTCGCTACTATCTGCTTGTTAGTTCACTTTCATGTCGCACTTAATAAATTAATGTATTGTTTGTAAAATGGTGTTTACCGTTGAAAATGAATAAATAAATAAATGAACTTCTGTTGTAGAGGTTAAAATGCCACTAGGCCCTAACTTAAGTAAGTTTATGCCTATTGCTCGTACAATCGTAACCTAGTTAATTTAAATTATGGATTTTATTGTATCAAAACCGTTGTATTTGTGTGAAATCGAGTGTTGACTATATTTTATCCATTATGCCCTCGGAATTTTACAAGCTTTAAAATATATTTAAAGGGATTTAATCCTAACCTAAAATTACGAATAGAATTACAATCTACATACAGAAAATGTCATAACATAAGAACAAACAAGGTTCAAATATGAAAGCAGTATTTTACCTGTTTTGGCTCAGTTAAAAAATGGATTAGAATTTAAAAATTAATGTGAAAAACTTCTTAGTTCTGAGATATTCTTGCAAATGCTCTGGATAAGGACATAGATACCACCATACCGCCACGGCTACCAAAAAGTAAAAACTAGGGATGAGCGATAAATCACAGACTGTGATTTTGTCACCGATATTTTTAAGTCACAGTCACAGTCTGTGACACGATATCAAAAGTAGCAGCTACCGGAGTCACAGTCTCTGTTCACCATTTGCAGTCGCAGTCGCAGCTTTTTAGTTCAAAATATCGACTGTAGAAGCGCGAGCAGCGCTGTGACTGAGCGAGTCACAGTCTCTGTTCCCCAGTCACAGGCTTTTAGTTCAAAATATCGACTGTAGGAGCGCTGTGACTGGGCTGTATCCGCCGTCCTTGTAATTGCTGCTCTCTGTATCCTTCGGATTTTGAGCGAACTACTGTACTTTGAGCGGGCTTTGCACCCTATATCGTCAACAGTAGCAGTCATTCGGGGTTAGGAGCAGTCACAGTCACAGTCGCAGTCACAAGTAGCTGGTTAGCCGTTCGAGTGATGCACGCCAATGGCATCGTCACAGTTTCGTAGTTTTGAGTATCACCGCACGGAGCGCCACCGTAGCATATATCGCTGTGACTAGTCACCGATATTTTTAACCGATATTTCTTTGTCACAGTCACAGTTCCGAGTGATATTTTAAAGTCACTGATATTCTCATCCCTAGTAAAAACCAGAAGACAGAAGAGTGAGTAGAAGTGAAGAGAAGAGTGAAGACAAATACATGGAGGAAATAACAGACCAAAAGCAAATAAGAAAAATACAGTAGAACCCCGGTTGGGATCCCTTCAAGTAGGTAACCTTTCAAACTGGTGAAGGGACCTACCTGCCCGATATTGAAATCGGTCAGGTTGGTTACTTTTCAATTTGGTGAGGTAATGAACGCCCTCTTGCTCTTGTGGTGGGGGCATCGACTGCCAGGGTTTCGAATTGGTGGGTAATTACCCACTTTGTGGGTATTTTAAGCTATGGTGGGTATTTTCGCGGGTATTCTATTTTAGTGGGTAAAATAGGGTATTTCATGCTCGCTTCATGGTATTTTTCGTTTTTAGTGCATTGGGAAGTTTCTGCTTTAGCAGGCTTCATGTTTAGAATCAAACCTTAAAAACATTGGCAACTTTTTTTGCCTTCAGCAAAGCCTTTTTTCTTCTTCCACTTCTTCGATAATTCCTTGTTGCGATACCACTGTCTTTCCGATATTTGGTATCGATACCGTATCGCAAAAAAGTAACGATACCGGCTCAGTATCGGAACTAAAGTATCGATACCATTAGTATCGGAACTAAAGTATCGATACCATTAGTATCGTATCCATTCGATACCATTGACGTCATATTCTGATTCACTGATCTTCGATTAAAGTTCACTCGTTCCAGTACAGTGCAGCCAATATGGGATTCGAATTCAAGCTGCTAAAAACTACCTAAATATGTAAAACATTGATAAAATTAACCAAACATTGCGAACCATTGTTTTCAATTTTACCTTCAAGTATAAGTTCAAGTAGGCCTAAGCTTACCATAAGTTCTAGGCCTATATAATTTATATTTTCAATAGACAATGTTATTAAATTACCAACGTAACGCATTCGTGTTTACCATCAGCCTAAAAAAAGTTTATTTTTTAGTTAAATAACTTTAAGTGCGGTGCCATCTTTTTAGTTTATTTGATGTTGAATACTCCATGGTTTCATTTTATTTGCCTAACACAACGTTGCTAACATTGACTTGTAACAAAATTAACTCTGCAACTAAACCCTTAAGTTGTATCATTGACTAAATATACGTCTGTAGGTATATATAGTCAATGGTTTTACTTATAGTTATGTAAAGTTCTATGGAAAGTGAATCATAATTTACTCAAACCACATATCAGACAAGCTAGATACAAAATATTTAATTGGGTTAAAGTTTTTTTTTTACAAAAATACATTATGTCCATTTATTTTGGGTAAAATAGTTTGATATATATTTCAATTATATATTTTATGTCATTACACCACATATTACTCTTATTCAAGCTGAGTGGGTAATAGTGGGTATTTTTAGGTAAAGTGGTGGGGAAAATTACTGAAGTGGATTAGAAACCCTGTCGACTGCTCTCATTGGCTGCAAGGTTTCTGGGGGAGGGAGTAGTTGTTATGGGGTGAACAGTGCTGCCAACCCAAAAGTCTGGAGCAATAAACATTCCCATACAAGGGTAATGTGGGTAATTCCGATATTTACGGCTACAAAGTAGGCAGTATAAATGCCGAAGGAAATTATATGTATAAAATATCTAGTTAGAACTTTGCATTGGTGAAATACTGTAAACAACAAAATACGATATTAAGTCCATCATCTTGCGAACCTGTTTCTCTCCATGCCCCTGGGTCACTGCTAGGCTACTTTCTCTTGTAACTAAATATCTACAGTATTAACGGGTCAGATTTTATTAATTAACTAGGTGTTACCGTTGGCATCGCCCGACATACTTTTTCGTCTTTTATTCTTTACTATAAGCCTGCTGAAGTTGTCACTGACTTCGCTACGGAACGGAACTACCCTCTCTGGAACAACTGAATGATGTTTTTACCAAAAAAAATACTAAAGTATTCATATCTCCTTTCATTCATAATCATACTCCAAGCCAAATTTTCCAATGGTACAGTTAGTTTTCTCTAACTTTATTGAAAAGTATTTCAGATAGTCTAAAGTAGGATTAAAAGTAACACAAAAACATTATTTTATTTAGTGATATACTGTATATATGATGTTCCCCGTTACTGTCTCGGCATGCTCTTGATTTGATATTATTCTTGAATTTTGTTGTCCCTTCTGTACATTTAATAATTACTAGAGGGCCCATGCTACTCTACAACGTTGAAATGAAAATCATATTCGAGCAATAATCAAATTTATAAATTTTTATTGAGTATCTTGATCTTAACTGATTCAAACGATAAATAGCTCAAATTAAAACCTTTAATTAACTTACTATTTTGCGTAAAAAACATGAAAAAAACATAAACAATAGTGGACATATTGATTTTTAATCATAAAAAACCCTTATAAAAAAATAATTTATATGTTGGTTGTTCACATTGCAATTGCTTGTAGTCCGTCCGATTTGGATAACTAATTAATAGCTTAAATGAAAGCCGGCATTTCACTGAAGGTTCTTAGACCAAAATATGTAGGATTATATAATTATAACTGGTGAAATGCATCTTAAATTGAAGTAAGAATTCGAAAAAGTCAAATATATGTTTTTTGGACGAGTAATACAGTAGATCAATATATATGCCGATGCTTAGAGTGAAATCTGTGCACACCCTCAATTTGAGACCTCAATAATGAAAATCGGTTAAATTTATTTTTAAATATAAGAAGATAGGTGAGGATAGGACTATTAACGTTTAACGAAAACTATCACCGTTTTACAACAAATTGTGTAGCAGTTCCGGTTAATGATAGCAACCTATACTGAATTGAAGCTTTAGAATAGAAGATTTAAAATGTTTACGGGAGCAAGCTCCTAAAATGTAATAATGTCGGTAGCTATACTTGCGATAGTACACTTGATAGGTTTTTAACAGCTTTTATTGATTTATGCATTATTATTATATAATAAATAATGCTATTTAATAAAATTAAATATTAGTAATCATATGGTTAAACGTACGGACACTGACTAGTTTTTAGGTGTCGGAAGAAGCAAATTTTCACAGTTTTGAATGTAAACCTATTTTACTCGAAATATGTTTGAGATAGAAAAACACTCTTGAAATACAAAAGTTGTGGATAATTTAATTCTACACTACCGTTCTTCCATAAGATTTAAGATCCAAGCATTGTAGCTTATAAGTTACAGACCAAAATATAATATCTTGCATACTCGAATTTCTTCTGAAATAGATTTAATCCCCTAAACCACCCTTGAATTTAGAACTTTGCAAAACCCAACTTTGTACATCTACACCATATACATGGATTGCCGTCCCAATGCAAAATTCTATTATTCTAGGTCTTATATATGTTTTGAGATACATTATAGTGATCATTTGTCAGTGATATGCCAATCAATATAAAGGTAGGTCAATGGAAAGCATTTATCTACGTGGTGATCGGATGCATAGCAGCTTCAAAACGGATACGTCACAAAATTCGTGTTTGCCTATTAAATATATTGGGTATCTATATTTTTAATATATAGATACCCAATATGCCTATACACATTTAAACTTATGGGTCAATTTGCTGCACACAAAATCCAACAAAGTCTTTTAATAATATAGATACTTAAGGTTAAGAAAACTCCAGAACCACTTGGGTGGAACCCAAAAGTCAGATCAGGATAAAAACTACTTAGTTTTCCTATTTAATGCCTGAAGAATCGGTACACCAAATTTCAACGTTCTAGCTAGTCTGGAAGTTGGATTAGTAATGAATCATTGAGTGAGGGCTTTTACTTTTATATGTTAAGATTATTAGCTGAATATAACACATATGAAAGGTACAAAATAAAATCCATAAGTTAAATACAGTAGTAGAATATATAAATACGGAGCTCCAGACAAAGCTGTCTTTAAAATTTGAAATAGGTGTTGCTGCAGACTTTTAATTTTATTCAGCGAGATTACGCCCCTGAATTTAGTGTTACTCCCTCAATATGACAACACTGTTGGATAAATCTAGCTCAGTGGGATAAATGCAGGGATGCAGCAGGCACTAGTAGAGCGAAATTTCCCACAATTTCCATGTAACCGTTTGAAGCGTTTGACTGGTTTTCAGGTTATGTGACAAAATCCAAAACACAATTGAACATAGGATGCACAATAAATCGGATGTGTTTACTTTTGGGCTATTGACTTAATTATTACATCAAACAATTAAATGTATTCTGAACTTGTGTACCCGTTGCGAAATAGAGCGTACTATAGCTAGCCGCCATACCCGTGCTTCGCTAAAGGAGCGCTAAAGAGAATAATTTATTGTTATGTTCCATAGATCTGTTGTATGAAAAGTTAAATAACTCATAAAATAAATGCCTAACATTT